TACTATGTCCTTCGGCCTTTTTCAACTTGAACTACCTACAGGGTAATAAATGTCATGTGGTCTTTTAGGGAAGAAAGAGGAATGGAATTAAATAAAAAAGAGCCCAAACCAAGAATTTGGGGCTCGAATCCCCTCTCTTATCATTCCCTAGCTCTGTGACCTTCAGCTAGCTCTGTGCCTCAGTTTCCTCCTCTGTAAAATGTCCTGCTTCCCTCAGAGCATGTCATGGGGATTAAATGGAACATTAATGCCTCAAATAGCATTTACTGAATGAAGGAAAAAACTATAAAGCACATGCTAGGATATGATACTATTTTTTATGTTGCATTGTATAATACACTTCCTTTTAAAACTTACTATTTTATTGTGGCAAAATACATATAATGCCACTTTAGCCAATTTAAGTGTACATAGCAGTGGCATTAATTATATTTACCATGCAACCATCACCATGATTTTCAAAACATTTCTGTCACCCTTCACACTTTTTTGTTTTCTCTGGTACTGCCTCTTTCACACTTGGCAGGGTGCTCTTTCATACTCCTATCCCAGGATTAAGCAATTTACTGGTTCAGCCTGCATCATATGGACTCAGACTACATGGCCTTTCCATTCAATGAGACTCGAGAGTCTCACTCCTCTCCATCTTTCCAAACACCTTCCATCTCTGAGCACCCTGCCAGGTGCTGGCAAGTACAAAAAAGGAAAGACCAGGATTGGGAGTAGAGGGAGACTGGCACATAACCAGATCTTTAGACTACTACGGGAAGATATGCCTCATGGCCTGAGTTTTTCAAGAGACAAAAAAAAAAAAAAAAAAAAAAAAAAGCTGAAGTTCATTCTTTTTCTTGAATTAGTCATGGGTGTGGACCTCTCCATTCTGGTTCTGGGCTAGGCACTCAAAGGAAACAGAGTCTAGTAAGACTTGGCCTGCCTTCCAACACCCTCTCATTGTAGAAGCTTCTCTGGGTCCCCTGGGGGCAGGCTTGGCCTAGAGATTTCAAGATAATGGCACTTGAACTGCCCTGCTTCTTGAAGGAGGAGCAAGAATTCATCAAGCAGTCATATGAAGTGAGGGCAAAAGGGGCATTCCCAGCAGAGGGAACAGCCTGTGTCAAGATCTAGCTTGATCTGCCTGGGGTGGGGGACAGTAAGGTAAGAGTTCCCAGGGCATAAGAGGGCTCCCAGGCTGGTCTGAATAGAACATGAAGGAGCTGCCAGAACATGGAAGCTATGGGCACCCAGCACAGGGATCAGAATGGAAAAGAGGTAAGGCCTGGGTCTCAGCCTGAGGCCAGAGATCAGGCCCTGACAGTTGCTCTGGGGACAGTTCCGCCGGACAGCGCTTCATCGAGCTTCCCTGGAAGGTCACATGGAGATCCTGGAGAAGCTTCTGGAGAGGGGGGCCACTGTGGACTTCCAGGATCGGGTGAGCAAGAGAGCAGGTGTTGGGTGGGAGGTAGGAGGTGGGCCCAGAACCAGTAGACCCCCTCTCCCTGCAAACCTGTGGCAACCTGGGACACACCCAGGCTTCCTCCGGGCCAGCCCCAAGTTCCAGTGGGTTATATGGCCTGGGGCCATCCTCCAGAAACCTGGCTTGGACCTGAGGGTCTCCTGCTCTGCCAAGTCCATTGCCTAGGCACAGGGGTGCCCCTGCTCCTGCCCTGCCCCCTTTCCCCTGATTCCTCCCACCCTATTGGTTGGGGTCCTTTTCCCTAGGCATTTTCTCCCCTAAAGCCCCATCTCTTCTAGCTGGACTGCACAGCCATGCACTGGGCCTGCCGCGGGGGCCACTTGGAGGTGGTAAAACTCCTGCAAAGCCGAGGAGCAGACACCAACATCAGGGATAAGGTGAGGCAGTAACACTCACAGATATTAGGGTGGTTGGAGAGGGAGGGCAAAGGGCAGGGAACAGAAAAGCCCTGGAAGCAGGAAGGTAGTGAGTTAGACTGATTTCTAGAATGGTTACAGAAACCAGGGAGGGCTCCTTACCATCCCCTGTAGGACCTTGGGGACTGCCATCAGGGGTGGGAGCAGGAAGGACAGAGGAGAGGTGAAGAGAAGAAATCCATAATTTAGGTAGCTTTGGGATCACCCAAAAGATGTGGGATTTGTTCATCCATGCAATCCTTCATCATCTTTATCTATCTGTCCATCCAGCCATCCACTCATCTGTTCACTTGTTTATTCATCTGCCATTTTTCCTGTTTTTTTTCCTTAAGATTTATTTATTCATTTGAGAGAGACAGAGAGTACAAGCTAGAGGGTGGGGCAGAGGGAGAAGGAGAAGCAGATGCCCCACTGACCAGGGAGCCCAATGTGGGACTCGATCCCAGAACCCTGGGATCATGACCTGAGCTAAAGGCAGATGCTTAAACGACTGAGCCCTCCAGTCACCCCATCCACCATTTTTCTATTCATTCATTCCTTTGTGTGTAACCTTGAACAAGTGACAGCCTCTGAGCCTCTGTTGCTTATCTGTCAAACATCTTACAGAATTCTTATATAATTAGATGGGAAAATGTATGTAAATTATTTATTCAGCATAAGGCTGATGTTTTGTCAGCTTTTGCCATGCCCATCACATAGTTACTTCTGAGTAAATGGCATCTATTATAATTATTAAAAGAAGGGCAGAGGAGTGAACAGCTGCTCACAGCTGGGTGAGAGGGGAACCATAGAAGGCCTCCCAGAGGACATGGCATGTAATGCTTCCGAGTTGACCACTGGATAGGATGGTGGAAATGGTAGCATTCCTAGTCTTTGCAGGGCTCAGGCCTTGGCATTAGGACTTGAGGAAGCGATTAGGGTGGAGTACCACAGTCTAGGCCCCTTCAGCCAGCAGTTCTCACTTCCTCCCCACACAGTTGCTGAGTACCCCCCTGCATGTGGCAGTCCGGACAGGGCATGTGGAGATTGTGCAGCACTTTCTATCCCTGGGCCTGGACATCAATGCCAAAGACAGAGTGAGTGTCCAGCTTCCCTTCTGCTTAGCCACATCATGGGGGTGCAGGCAGCCTGAGGGCTCCCACATGCCCCCAGGGGCCATACTGAGTGTCACACTGGCTCTAGGAAGGAGACAGTGCTCTGCACGACGCTGTGAGGCTCAACCGCTACAAAATCATCAAACTGCTACTCCTGCATGGGGCTGACATGATGACCAAGAACCTAGTAAGTTCATTCATTCCCTGATTCAGTAATTAGTGTGTATCCCTTCCCAAGGCTCTGTACTAGGCACTCAGAGGACAGAGAAAACTGAGCAAGACTCAGCCTGCCCTTGGAGCACATTCATAGTGGAGGTCTCTCTGGGCCTCCTGGGAACTTGAGGCCCACACACCTCCTCAGCTCTTTTGATGTTTATCTCTGTCCAGAGTGCAAGTGCAGAGAAACAGCCTTAAAGGGCAGTAAGAGGACTTCCCAAAGGCCCCCAAGTAGATCAAAGGGGGTTCTAATGTCCAGGCCCAGGAAGGCCATAATCATGGAGGAACATAGCTGGAAGGAATCCAAGCGCTTGGTTGGCATGACCACTCCTACCGAGCACATGGTGTGGGCCTGGAGTTCTCTAAGGGTCCTACGCCCCTAGTCCAAGCTCTTCTTGGGGGCCCAGAGAAATCACAAAAGAGAGGGGAATGGGAGGGTCCCCCTGACTCAAGAAAGAGGGATATTATCCTAAGGGATAATAGGAAAGTCAGGAAGATATGTGGGGAGGATGTGAGTAAGGGTTTCTCAACCAGGACATTTTTGACATTTGGGGCTGGACAACTGTTTATCTTGTGCATTATAGGATGTTTAAGCAGCATCCCTGGGCTCTACTCACTAATTGCCAGTAATTCCCACTTCCCTGATGGTGACAACCATAGACATCTCTAGATATTTGCCCCTGTTTGGAACCCCTGGTATAGATGAGGGAATGTCCCGGTACAAACTTCTGAACAGTGATCAGATCTCCTGGTTCCCCCAGGCAGGAAAGACCCCCACGGACCTGGTGCAGCTGTGGCAAGCTGATACCCGGCAGGCTCTGGAGCATCCGGAGCCAGGGGCAGAGCAGAACGGGTTGCAGGGTCCTATCGAGAGTGCACAGGAGACCCCCCAACCTGTACCAGCCCAGTAAACATCTGCCCCAGGCCAGCTGGGCACCCGGGCTGTCGCCCTGCGTGCAGCCAGGGGGTCATAAGAACGGCCCCCAGAGCTGAGGACGCTGCCATTCCTCCGTGTACGACCGGGGACACCCACAAGCTACCGCAATAAAAAACAATAATAATAAAAAAAATTTTTTAAAGTCATTTTTGCAATTGGTCCTGTTGGTTTCTGTTTGTGTCTGAAATGTTTAAGAATGAAGGAAAACCGAGCGAGGGTAGGCTCGGGGAAGAGGGCCACTTGCAGCCCTTTGCCCCCAGCCCTGTCGCTTTTCCTACCGAGGTGTCTTCTTGCTTGTCCCGGGGACCGCTGCGCTGCGGGGGAGCAGGCCGGGCGCGGGGGCGCGGGGGCGCGGGGGCGCGGGGGCGCGGGGGCGCGGGGCGCGGGGGCGCGGGGGCGCGGGGGCGCGGGGGCGCGGGGGCGCGGGGGCGCGGGGGCGCGGGGGCGCGGGGGCGCGGGGCGCGGGGGCGGAGCGCAGGGTTCACAGGCGGCCGCCGGGCAGCCGCGCCTCCCGCCGGCAGGACCCGCCCCGCCAATCGGCTCCCCCACCCCCACCCCACCCCACCCCCCCGACTGCCGCGCGGAAGCCGGCTCACCCGCCTCCGCGGCCCGGAACTGGGGGAGGAGGACCCGGCCTCGCTCGGGAGGCCCTTTAGGGTCGCTCTCCAGCCCACCGCCCACCCTCGTCCCGCCAGAGGGAAGCAAGCTCGGTTGTGGCATTTGCCCCGCTGCTCCCAAAGGGGGGCCTCTGACCCCGGGGGCGCCCCGCCCTGGCCGGCCCCAGCACCTACAGTCAGGGAGGGGGCAGCAAATTTTTAACTAGACACACTGATCATTAACAGGGTAGGACGGGGTCCAAACTCAGCCTCACTCCGGGCAGAGACCAGCTGGGCCGCGGGCCTCTTGCCGAGATGCTGGGCCGTGCAGTCTGGTCCTCTGTGAGGCAGGGGCTTGGTAGGGGCTTGTCCAGGAATGTGGGGGGCTGGGCCTCAGGGGAGGGGAGGAAGGTGGACATTGCAGGCATCTACCCCCCTGTGACCACCCCCTTCACGGCCACGGCAGAGGTGGACTATGGGAAACTGGAGGAGAATCTGCACAAATTGGGTACTCTCCCCTTCCGAGGTAAGTGGGGCCTGCCCTCTGGGGGAGTCGGAGATGTGAATGATTCCAATATCTGCCGCCTGTGAGCAGCTCAGAGACAGACAGTTGGGGACCCCAGCAGTTGTGCAGGCGGCACTGCTCTGGAGTCCAGAGACAGGCAGAAAGCTCCTTGCTGGCTTGCAACCTTGACTGAATCGCATCTGCTTCGGTTTCCCCAGTTGCAAACTACCAAAGTGCCTTCTTAGCCCAGCATTACTGTGGGAATCATACTACAATAATGGGTGTGAAAGTCCTCGTCAACCAAACGCTGTGCAGTTGTGAAGGCAGCTGGGGATGTCACAAGGCACCCCAGCCTGCGAGCTCATCTCCCTGAAAACCTTGTTCACACACTCTCTTCTGGGCCAAGCCTCCCTTGGCCGAATTAATTCCTGTTCTGGATCCTCTGACTCCTTTCCCTCCTTACACAGGGGTCTCCCCTCCATGAGGTCAGGGACCAGACACTTGTAACACTCAACATGCAACATGGCCACAGGTACAATAAGTGAAAGACAAAGTGGTCAGTTCCTCCCATCCTGCTCTGCCCACCCTCATCTATCACCCGTGGCAAGTCCCTGAGGCCAAAATCTCACTAGCCCTGTTTCAGAGATGGGAAACTGGGGCTCAGAGTGACATAGTCACTCACCCAAAGTCATTGCTAATACATGGCTGAACTGGGATTTGAACCCAGGTCTGACTGCAGGGCCACACTTGGTTTCACTCCATCACACTAAACCGCTGAGTTGTAGAACAGACTATTTCAACGAATAAAGTCTGGTTGGCACCAGCTCTGGGAATGGAAAGGTCCTGACTGAGGTGGGGGCAGGGGAACAGTTGAGAACATGGACTATAGATTCAAATCACAGCTCTCCCACTGACTTAGCTGTGAGATAATCTCTCAAAACCTCAGTCTCCTCATCTGACACGTGGGAGTAATAATGCCCACGTCATAGGATGGTTGCAAGACAAATCCAAGAGAGGGCAAAGCATGCCGTGGTTAGGAAAGGGTGATGTACCTTAGAAGTTATCTAGTGGTCACAATCACTAGGACGACAGTATCATCGGCATTGTGGGGAGAGCTGCTTTGTGACAGTGACTGCTGGCCTGACCGAAACCCCATCCACATCTCAGGACTGAGCGGATGCAACTCTTCTTCCCTAGGGTGCAGTAAATGTAATGACACAAACTCTTAAGTAAATTTCTACTCGGGCTCAGCCCACTGGGGCCTGAAAGTCTGCCAGAGGCCTGGGTCTCTTGAAGCAAAGTGAGAATCTTTTATTTACTAAAAAAAGTTTTAAGTAATCTCTATACCCAACGTGGTATTTGAACTCATGACCCCAAGATCAAGAGTACCATGCTCCCCACTGACTGAGCCAGCCAGGTGCCCCTAGCTCCTTGAATCTTAAGAGGAGGAAGACTCTGTTTCACCCTCCAGGTCCAAGGTCTATACGCTAATGCAGGGCATGAAAACGGTGGACTTTATGTCCAGTTTCTGCCTGCCACCCAGAGAATCCAGACACCCCAGACTCTTCTCTGGACCCTTCCTTCCCTCCTACCCACTTATCCACTCCTGCAGAGGGCATAAAGTGGATTTGGCAGGCTATGGACCACGGAACAACCCACACAGGCTCCTGCCTCAGTGGGAGGGAGTGGGCTGGATAAAAAGAGCTCAGCATCCAGAGTTAGAAGGCCTGGGTAAGAATCCTGGTTCTGCCAGTTATGGTGACCTTGGAGAAATCACTGAACCTCTCTAATCTGATTTCCTCATTTTAGAATGGAACTGAGCCACAGGGTTAACGCATTCCTCCCAAGTAGCTCAAGTGTGAGGCCCTGGTACAAAGAATAGAGCCAAGGGTCCCATCACTGCTCCCGGGACACAGCCAGAATGTCCAGGAAAGGAACTGTGAGCAACTTTTGCTCTACAGATGATGTTTCTCTGGCTCAATTCTGGCCCCCGGCGTTGGCTTTGCAACCCAACACTCAGGAGCAGAGGAGGAAGCCGTTGCATACCACATTGCCAGGGCCTCCTGCGATAAGTTAAAAGTCTTCCAAAGAGGAGGTGGGAACCTGCCCTTGATGAGTAGGTGAAAAGTTAGATATTCTTCTGGAAGCTATTGCCTGAAACTGTGTAGCTCTCTTTTATTTCTTATTTTTGCACTGTTAATTTTTACTGATTATTTATATAAACAGTATCATTTTAAAATGAAAACTAGTGACTGGAGGGTAAAATTGTTGTGAAGGGACCATTTGGCCCTGAACTCACTCCCACAAACAACCTCAAAGATGAACTTTGAATTGTTATTTCCAAATGAGGTTAGTAGATGACCACAGAGCTACTTCAGTAGGACAAGGGAGATGATGTTCCCCATAAAACATTGAGCTTGTATCTTATTCCCTTAGTACGTAGACTAAGATACTACTGTGTATATTAAAGCCATGACTTTCTTAAATAAAATATTTTGTTTTAAAAAAAATCACAATTTTTACAATGCTGTTTTGGCATTTACTTTAGCATTCACTTTTAAAAAGTGAAATGCATTTAAAAAAAATGTGTTCGCTGCCTCTGGGAGAAAAATAAAGGGGCCCAGGCCTGTTTCTACCCTGAGAGGATAGAAATTTGGGATTGTGGGCCAGGCTTTCTATTATCTGTACCTACAGAGACCCTGGCCAGGTGGCTCACCTGCTCACAGTCTAAACTGTGTCCATTTAACCAGGGCCCAGGGGAAGGGGAGCAAATTCTGGGTATGCAGGTGCATCACTAAGGTAAGAGGTAGCAGTCCCTATCCTGGGACAGCCCCTGGGATCTGGAATCTGGGATCTGGTGAAGTCCCCTATCCTATCTGCTCTGCCTTCTCAGTCCACTGCTTGTCTCTACCCAGTTGTGACCTCATATTATTCTAGAATGAGCTCCTTCCTGGGCCCCTTTCCTTTTGAACCCTGCTCTGTAAAGGGGTTGGGGCTGCAGATGGGGATGAAATGTGCTAAGCTGGCAGAAGGGGTGGGCCCTGAACCAAAGGAGACACCAACATCAGGCAGCCAGGAATGGATACCAGCCTAACCAAGGGGGTCCTTCAGTCATGGTCAGTGAGCCACTGGATAGAGAGGGAAAGAGACCAAAGATTGGAAAATAAGGATTGAGTCGAAGAATGCGTCACAAGCAGAAGACAGCAGGAAAGCTGCTTTTCCACTGACCTTAGGGACAGCTGTCAGGGTGGGAGACAGGACTTGGGCCTCAGGAAATACCTGCCAGGTTAGACGTGAGGGGTGCCTAGGCCTCTCCCCACCCCACCCCCTAACCTTGCTCACAATGGGGTTCATTGCTGAGGCGGGAGGGGCATCCTAGGAAGGGTACAGCTGGGAGCCTGCCTGCCAGACAGCCTCGGGGAACCTTCCCTTTCAAGCATGAACCATACCATCTGGGCTCCCCCCCTCCCAGCGTGCTCTTAGCTCTGCCTGCCTGGCTTAGGGTCCTGGAGACCTTCTTGGAGCTCATCCAGCAACCATCATGCAAGGTGGTGCTGGGGACTGCCCTCTTACTCGGAGGTGGAGGCCTCATGCTGTGGATTCAGAGGAAGAGGAGAAGGAAGGCATCCCTTGAGTCTGTACGAGATGAGCAGGAGCCACCAGAATGTCACAAAGCAAAGAATGAGAACTGGATTAAATCTCACTTTAGCCGCCTTTCCGAAGAGAAGCTGGCCGCCTGCAGCAGCAGCACGGCCTCTTCCCCCCAGAGCAGCAGCGGGGAAGCCAGCACAACCATTCGCATGGAGACCGTCACCACAAGACAAGGCGAAGTGGGCACGGCTGTGCGCCGGGAGTCCTTCACCAGTAAGCAGAAGATGTCCGGGTCCTCGGTGACCAAAGAGACCCACAGGGAGTCTGGAAAATCCCCATCCACGGATACGGCCACATGGGCCGCTGTGGCTACCTGTACCAAGGAGATCAACACCCTGGGACAGCAACTGGCTAATTCCATGTTGCAGCGAGCCACGACTTACCAGAACTCAGGCCACCTGGAGTCCAAAGACATCAACCAGGAGGAGCTGAAGGCCCTGGAGGAGGTGGAGTTGAAGCTGAAAGGGAATTTTCTCACTCAGCGGGATACCACTGTAGCTGGCATGAACCAAACACATGCCTTCCATGGCCATGGTCACCCTGGCTACCAGGGTTACCCAAGCCACCCGAGCCACCCGAGCCATCCAAGCCATCCGAGCCACCTGAGCCACCAAAGCCACCCGAGCCATCAGAGCTACCCAAGCCATCCGAGCCACCCAAGCCACCCAAGCCACCAGAGCCACAGTCTGCCCAACCGCAGCCACCAGATCTGTCAACCCTTTGAAGCCACCTAACCATGGGTGGAGACACCCCTTCCCCCAGCAAGGCTGGCACACAATTGCAGGCCTGTTCTCTCTCCTGTGGGGCAGCCTGTGTGGCCCAGAGTGAGATGCTGCTGCCCAAATCCCTCCTTCTTCAGACCCCCTCAGTCTGTGAGTAGTGTATGCCACAGAGGACAGCTCCTGATGGAGGGCGAGTGGAAGGAAGCGAAGCGGCCAAGACAGACTCAACGGGCCCCTGAAGGCCCACAGAAAAGATAGGCGAAGCAGATCCCAGGAGTAGCTGAGAGCCCCAGACTGACGCCTAATGCCTGGAACTGAGCCAATAAAGCCTTGTATTCCTTCATTCTGAGTCTGGGGGTTCTGTGGCCAGCCTCAGGACTGGGCAGCCATATGGGAAGAGGGTTCCTGCTCTCATAGTCCTCTTCTTTTTTTTTTTTTTTTAATTTATTTATTTATGATAGTCACACAGAGAGAGAGAGGCAGAGACACAGGCAGAGGGAGAAGCAGGCCCCATACACCGGGAGCCCGATATGGGATTCGATCCCAGGTCTCCAGGATCGCACCCTGAGCCAGAGGCAGGCGCCAAACCGCTGCGCCACCCAGGGATCCCTCATAGTCCTCTTCATGTGGCCCTTGGCCTGGGCCTTTTACTGATTCAAGACTCCATAAATCAGTTTCCCTGAGTCTCAGGTTCTGAGCATGGGACGTCTCCAGGGAGTTCAGCACCCACCAACCCGCTGTTGCCAGGGAAGGAGGAAGCAGCCAGATGTCAGGAGATGGGGGGAGGGCCAGGCTTCCAGAAGCTAGTAGGCAAGGTGGGAGGTGGGTCTCCTGTCCTCTTAGTGTCATCTTCACCCTGTCCACTGCTTCTCAAGTTGTGTGGCCTCCTGCACTGCAGTGTATTCTCCTTGCACCACCTGCTTTCTGGGGCCCACTGGGATCCCTGTTAGTGCCTCCCCCCACCTACCTTCAGACTATCCTTCAACTATTGTTGTGCTGTGTATACTCTCTCTTCTTGTTTCTATCACTATGGCTGGGACTAGCGCTGCTTGCTGCTGCTAGTACTGCTAATTACTAGTATTACTAGTACTACCAGCAACTCCCCCTTTTTTTTTTCTTTTCCATTTTTAGTGTATGCTGTGTTTGGTGCTAAGTGTTATAGCACAGCCCTATAGAGAAGGCATTATGTTATCTCCGTTTGGCAGATGAGACACCTGAGGCTCAGAGATGTAATTTGCCTGATAGGGCATAGACAGTAAGTGATGTTGTTAGAGTTAGAGCCCAACTCTGCCCAACTCCAAAGCTCAGACCCTGAATCCCTACCCCATGCTGCCCCTCAGGCCAATGCTCTCTGGCCCTACAGGGATCTTCTCTCATGCTTATCCCTGTCCTCTTCCCACATGTCCTGCCACACTCTGTGCCCTCCTGAAAACCTGGGACTCTCCCTGCCTCCTCTTCCTGGGTCCCAAGAAGTTATTTCTGGGGCAAGGGGTGACCTCCAGTAATGCAGTTAAAGGGAGGCAGCTCTCTCTCCTGTGAAAGTTGAGAGAAGTCAGTGACACAGCACTGTCTAACCCGCAGTGACTCCTTTACATAGAAATGGACTGTTGGCATCTGTTAGGAACTTGCCAGTGTTTCCCAGCCCGTGGGCCTCAAACTCCCTGGAGAAGGTGCCCAGAATCCTTGCAAAGGATGGATAAATCCACAAACACCCTAAATAATGTTGTTGATTGATTTTATGGTGCATAATTGGAGTTATTGAATTCATTTATCTATCTATCTATCATCTATCATCTATCTATCTATCTATCTATCTATCTATCTATCTATCATCTATCTATTTATATCTTAAAGATTTTAAGTAATCTCTACACCCAACATGGGGCTTGAACTTACAACCCTGAGATCAAGAGTTGCATGTTCCACCAACTGAGCCAACCAGGCACCCCTGTTATGAAGTATTTAAAATTTAAAGTATATATGTTAGCATTTATATGAAGTCACTTCTTAGTAATTTTTAAAATATTCAAATACTGGGGCATCTGGCTGGCTTAGTTGGTGGAACATGTGACTCCTGATCATGGGGTTGTGAGTTCAAGCCCCACAGTGAGTGTGTAGCCTGGTTAAAAAATAAGTAATTCATTAAATAAAAAAATAAAATCATTTGTAACAAAATATTAATGGGGGTGCCTAGGTGGCTCAGTCAGTGAAGCATCTGCCTTTGGCTTAGGTCATGATCCCGGGGTCCTGGAATCAAGCCCTGTGTTGGGCTCTCTGCTCAGCAGGGAGTCTGCTTCTCCTTCTCCCTTTCCCACTGCCCTCCCCCTCCTTCAATTTGTCTCTGTCACTCTCAAATAAAAATAACCTTTTAAAAAATATTAATGGAAAAAAATGGGGTCAGTCACCCTAGAAAATATTGTAGGTTGCCAAAGTAGACAAAAAGCAAGAGTAGTGAGGTGTAGCTTCTGTAAGTGATTGTAGAAATGCCTAAAATGTATGCATTTGTCTGGAAGACCTTAAATCCCCTTAAAAGTTTATTGGATAAAATTTCAGATTGGCTGATTGTGAATTTGGAATCTTTAAAAAAGTTTCAAACTGACAAAATTCAAAGTCTGCAGTTAGTATAGTACCAGGGTTAATTCTCTGGTTCTGATAATTCTACTAAAGTAAGACATTATCATTGCTGGGGGTCATGTGAAGGATGTATGGAAATCCCTTGTACCACTTCTGCAACTTTTCCTTAACTTTAAAAGTAGTTCAAGATGTCAACATTTTATTACAGTTGTAGCTCAAGGAAAACGACTTCTAAGTGGCCAATTCAAGTATGATCTCTTGGTAAGGATATTTTTTATAAAAGAGAATGGTCAAATCATCTACCAGCCACTAGACTCTTGCTGGAGTGTCAGCTGTGTGGGTGGCTGGTTTCCCAGATGAAGGCTTAATTCCATTGAAGTTCATCAGAAACCTGCCTGAGCATTTTATCAGGAATGCCCATTTCTGCCCAAGGAAGGTTATCAGTTACACCACACACAAAAATAAAGCTCTGCCCCAGGCCAGGGTCTGGGACAATTTTTCTTTTATACCACAAATTGTCAACACACACCTCCACCAGCAGTGTATTGGGTGTCATGGGGGAGGCCAAAATGAGGGGACATCATCCATGATCTTGATGATTTTAAGCAAAGTAGGACAAGTGCTGTGCAAGGAGGTGCAGAGGCTGGGGGAGTGAGGAAAGGTTCTCAGGGGCTGCAGCTTAGGGAGGCAGGTGTTCCAGGCAGAAGGGAACAGCATAAGCAAGGGCATAGAGGCAGGATAGTGACACTGTGTCTGGGGACCCTGGCAGTTTGGCTGAAGGAGAACATTTAGAGGTGAGTGAAAGGTAGGAGGAAATGCCAGAAACTTGACTCCAAAGCTTAGAGCCCAAGGAGAACTTAGAAGACCACCCAGTCCAATTTCCCCATTTTACAGCAGAGGTCAGTTTGAGAAATTTTGTCTAATCCTGCAGGCAGAGGTGGGAGAGATAGAAGGGTTCTGAGAACTTCTGTGTATTTTTAAGTAGGCCGCAGGGAAGGACAAAGAACAAGTGATGGAAGTTCGGAGAAGAGCTGTCCAGTGGAGGGATCCCAGGAAGACTTCTCAGGGGAGGTGGCAATAATGTTAGGTCAAGGGGCCATAGTAAGTCACCATGTTCCTTGTGCATCTCTAGCCCCAAACACACCCACTTCTCTCTCCCAGACCACTCTGGCTTCCCAGAGCAGCCAGCATAACCTGGGACCAAGAGAGAGGGAGAGAGAGAGAGAGAGGGAGAGAGAGTGAATTCTGTAATGAGCCTCTTTGCCTTGCAGCTGGAGAGGGCAAGAGAAGTTCTTGAATGCAACCTCCCCTCCCACACAACCCATCCTCCTCCACCTCAGATCCAAAGCTGCCAGCCTCCTGATTTAAGATTTGAGCACCTTTTGACTCCGTAATAATTGGAGCTAACACTGCCAGTTCTAATCTAAGCACTTTATAAATAGTATCTCATTTAAGTCTCACAACTCTTTTTTTTTTTTTTTTTTTTTTTAAGTCTCACAACTCTTTAAGGAGAGCACTAATATCCCCATTTCCCATGAGAGGAAGCTGAAGTTTGTTTAAGCTATTCGCCCAAGATCATAGCTGATAAGGGCCTGCAACTGAGAGTCACTCTGGGTCCTCTGGGTTCAGAGTCTATGTGTCCAACCACTCCACTGCCCTGTTTCTCCACCACTGCCCGTCTTCACTCCCTGACCCATGTGGGACCCTGGCCCTCCCTTTCCTCTGGTCACCTCTCTACACCAGGGGTGGCACATCAGGCCTAAAACTGGACATCTCACCAAGGAGAGAGAGGGGGCTCTTGGCAGCATCAGTTCACAGATTTCAAAATGCTTTTTTTTTTTTTTAAGATTTTATTTATTCATGAGAGACAGAGAGAGAGAGGCAGAGACACAAGCAGAGGGAGAAGCAGGCCCCATGCAGGGAGCCTGACACGGGACTCAATCCTGGGACTCCAGGATCACACCCTGGGCCAAAGGCATACGCCAAACCGTTGAGCCACCTGGGCTGCCCCTCAAAATGCTTGCTTGTACATTTTCTTGTTTGGGCCCTTAAAATAGCCTTATAAGGTAGGATTAAAATTGTTTCTCTTGTCATCCCATAGAAAAAGAAATGGGGACTGAGAGACATGATGTAACTTGCTCAAAAACCAGAGGGAGTTGGTCCTGACTGCTTCCCCAACTCTGCAATATTCTTTCCTTCTCCAGTCTGGCCTCACTTCCTTCTTGGGAGTCAGGCCTGGGTCAGATGCTTCTTCACAAGACTAGAGAGAGGCCACCAGGTGTCTTGAGCAAAGTAGCCTGCTTTTACTCTGAGAGTACAATCTCCAGCCGTCCTACTGCTCAGGAGCCCCTGGAACTGGCCACCAGGATGAAGGGGTCCTTGGGAGTGAGTGAAGAGGGCGGAGGAAGTGGCTGAAGCAAGAACTGGCCAGGGTCCCTTCCAGGGTGATGGTGGCAGGCGGGGTTGGGGTAGGAAGGAGACGTCTTTGGAGGCATGTCCATAGAGGGAGTGGCAAAAGTTTCATCTCAGAATCTTTGACCCCTAAGTAGAGGGTGTTGGTCCAATCCTCTCTGGGGTTGGGAACCCTTAAATTAGGAGTGAGCCCCTGGGAAATCACCAGCACCTTTGTAACAAGACAGAAGGAGGCTCCTAGCCTGACATGGAAAAATGAATCCTGAGGAGGCAATGCAACAGAAGCCAAAAATCATTTGCCTCAAGATGCTCCCTGCAATGTTACCAAGGCAAAAAAGTGTATGTGGGGATAGGGAACGCTAAGTATCCAGTGAGCCATTCTGGCAATCCACCCAGTGGAATCTGATGGTGCACTGAACAGCATGGAAAACTGTTTGTAGTGAAAAGTTGACTCTCCATCACACTGTGTCCCCTAAGGATGACTCACTGGAACAGTCTCTCTTGGTCCCAATGCCAGGAAATTCTGTGTCTCCAGGGCAGCTGCTTTGCTTTTATCTTGAGTTCTGCATATCTGTCAGCTGATCACATTTCCCTTTTAGCTTTGACTGTCAGGAAGCTCCAAGTCAAAATGACGGTCTCTCACAACTGTGTGGCGGGGGATTTTGTAGAGCTTTTTTTTCTTTCCTTTCTCCCAAGCAGTCTCCTATTTATTAATACTATTGTTGTGCCATATGCTGTATTTGTCAACTATTCCAGAACAATGTTTTTGGAATGGAATGCAGTAGAGAGGAGGAAGAAGAGGAAGGAGAAAGTTAAAGAAGCAGAGACAAAAATGGTTTTACTAACATTCCCTTCAGATTCAGCCAAAGAGCATTAATTCTGTGATACAAAAGGGTTGACATCCTACCCGGCGATATTAGAAACCTCTCAAATGATCGATAACATAGGAACGTGCAAAATGAAATAATGAAATGTCACTTTTCATCCAGAAAATTGGCGAAAATTAATTCTGACAATACCCAGGGTTGGCATGGGTGAACACGAACAGCCCCTTCCATGTGCCGATGGGGTTATGATCTGGCAAATAAGGCAGGCGTTTGGCACACAAAGATGCACACATGTGTGGCTCAGCAAATACACACCTAAGTAAACTGTAGAGAAGCTCAGACATGGGCACAGAAGACTTTATAGAATATGTTTTTTTTTTTTTTATTTTGGCATTATCTGTAATAGCAAAACTAAGGAAACATTCTAAATGTCCTCAAAAGGAGAATGAAAAGTAAATTGTCTCACTTCACAATAGACTATTATATAGTAATTAAAATGAATGAGTCAGAGCTGTGTACTGCTATGGACAAAGCTCACAACATAATCTTGGGCAAAAATAGCAAACCACAGAAGGTTGTATGAGCTTGATTCCATTTCTGTAAAGCTTAAAATGGCAAAAAACATATTATATCTTGTTTGTGGGTCAGTATATGTCTTAAGGGTATAAAGACATGAATGAGAACAATGACACCTGAGTCGGGACAGCTAGAAGAGGAAGAGAAAGGTGATCAGGGGAGGGTTCCCATGGGTGCTGGATACACACCTGCGGATTGTATTATCACTGATTCTTTTGGGTATAGCTAAGACATTTCGTTAACACAAAGAAAAATGGTGTGGACAGTGTCATGGCAACTGGGTAAAACATTCTGCCTGCATCAGGACAAAGATGGGAAGGAAATGTGTGCAAAACTATGGCGTTGGGAGTGCGTGTAACACCCATGTCCCAGTTATTCATAAGAGGACACAAAGGGAAAAAAAAAAAAAAAAAGAGGACACAAAGGCGTTGGCTGTGATGGAACCTCTCTTGCAGGCTTCGTGATCCAGGGCTCCAATGGCGAGTTCCCCTTCCTGACCAGCAGCGAGCGGCTGGAGGTGGTGAGCCGAGTCCGCCAGGCCATGCCCAAGGACAAACTCCTGCTAGCCGGCTCTGGCTGCGAGTGTGAGGCCACAGTACTCTGGGCCCTTGGGGTGCTTGGGGGTGTCTGGGGGTGCCTGCGGGTGGGGAGCCAGGCTCCTTGGCCCAGTTCAGTCAACTGGTTCTGTATTTTCTGAACCTCTTGTTTGCCCTGGGGTCCTAGCCCTGCCCTTCTTTCCTTCTGCTCTCACCCTCCATGACCTATAGGGAAGGCTCCCTCTTTCTTCCTGTAGCCACCCAAGCCACTGTGGAGATGACTGTGAGCATGGCCCAAGTTGGGGCTGACGCCGCCATAGTGGTGACACCTTGCTACTATCGTGGCCGCATGAGCAGTGCTGCCCTCATTCACCACTACACCAAGGTGGGCATGGGTTTGGGGCCTGGAACCAAGAGGAGGCTGGCTAGGGAGAAGAGATAGAGAAGCTGGGGGCCAAGGGATAAGCCTACTTCCCATGAATGGCAGCTATGGGAATGGGGAGGGGATGCTGCTGGGAAATTGGCCTGACCAACTATGAGGCTGCTTCCTCCCTTCTCAGATGGAAGGAATGATGGTGTCTTCCTCATGGGATCGTTGTGAGGACCTGGGAAACGAACTAAGGGTGGTGGAAGGGGAGGTGGGCGGGGGGTGGGGGAGACTGGGTGACAGGCACAGAGGTGGGCACTTGACGGGATGAACACTGGGTGTAATTCTATATGTTGACAAATTGAACACCAATAAAAAATTTATTAAAAAAAATACAGAGGGCTTAGAACTAAGCCTGGCACATAGAAAGCTCTCATGAAATAGTATTATTATTGTTTACAAGCAGGGGACATAGCCCTGTGATGTCTAGTCCAGGAGGTGGGCCTGCCCAGGTGGCCGCACAGTGACCCATGCCCAGAGCGGGTGGTGATGGGCAGTGCCTCAGGCTCCTCGGGCCTGGGCAGCTGCCCTCTGTCTCTCCCCTCTTCTCTACCTCCCTCAGGTCGCTGACCTCTCCCCAATTCCTGTGGTGCTCTACAGTGTCCCAGCCAACACGGGGCTGGACCTGCCCATGGATGCAGTGGTCACGCTCTCCCAGCACCCAAACATCGTGGGCATCAAGGACAGTGGTGGCGATGTGAGTGGCAGTGGCTCCTGACTGGCGCTCCTTCCTCTTCTCCTGTGTTATTAACTTCAGGGCAGCTCTGGGACCTGCTTCAGTCCTGGGCTCCTATGTGGGCTCTTCCCATTATGTGGGTTCTCGGCGGCCTTGTCCAAGTTTGGGGACAGCTCTCTGGAGCTTGGGTGCTCATTCTCCCTCCCTTGCCCAGCACCCATCTTGCTTGGTGTTGAAGCTCTACGTGCAGCTCTCACACAGGTTTGCTCTTGCAGGTGACCAGGATGGGACTGATTGTTCACAAGACCAGGAAGCAGGATTTCCAGGTGTTGGCTGGATCAGCTGGCTTCTTGCTGGCCGGCTATGCCGTGGGTAGGCCTCCTGCTCCTCTCATGCTATCATGGGTGGTATACCCAGGCCCCCCAGGTGGGCAGAGTCTGGGTCTGCAGGGTCCTTTTGCCATCCTGCCTACTTGGAAGCCTCAGAAGTCCAGCGCACTGCTTGCTTGTTTGAATATTAGGTGCTTATGAGTGACCTTTTTGGACAGAAGAGGGTGGCCTTGTATAATCCTTGGTCTGTAATGGGGATGCCTGAAGTTTGTGCTAAGTCCTGAGCTCCCTGCTTAGTTAACAAATTGAGCTCCTCTGACCTCACCTTGTAAATCATTCTCTGAAGATAGAGGCCTTGGAGCCTTGGAGTCTTTCCTCTGGTCTGCAAGTCTGTTTTCCTCTCATCCTGGTGCTGGGCCAGTAGGAATCGTCAGACCTATAGGGTCAGGCCCAGGATCTTCAGCTGCCTGTTTCTGTTCCAGTCCAGGATACTGGGAATGTCACCATTAAACCAACTGTGCTTATCTGTTATGGGTCAGGCTTCTTGGGGTTCAGGTTGGATTTGGGCCCCAGAGGGGGAAGAGAGCAAGCATCTGCTCCCTTGGGCTGAAGCCCCAGCAAGTACAGATCTGAGTTACTTTTCCAGGGTTGAGGGGGCAATGCTGGTTCCTCTTCTCTGGACTTAGGCTTGCTGTGTGAGTCCTTGCACATCTCTCCTCAATCACGTCACAGTCTCTAAAGTGCAAAGGCAGAAAAGAAGACCCATTGAAGCCTTGTTGCTGAGGGTGGGTAGATGGAGAGAGGACAGGCTCTAGAGGCCAGGTGGGGGTTGGTGGGTGGGATGTGAGTTGGAATCTCAGCTCTGCCATTTACTGAGTACTGTTGGGCAAGGTATTCAACCTCTCTGGGCCTGAGCTTCTACTCTATAAAGCAGGAGGTGTTGTGAGAATGTGAGAGCATTGGCTCAGTGTCTGCATAGTGCCTGGCAGAAAGTGGGGATCCATAAATGGCAGCTGTATTAACTTATTCCAAATTTCCCGCTCTCCGGTCTTCAGGCCGCTGTGCTTAGGGACCCTCCTAACTAGCCTTAGAATCCCATCGCAGGCCTGCAGAATGGCAAGACCTCCTGAGATCACAGCCAGCCCGTTTGAATTGCCCAGATGAGAACAAAGAGGACTGGGAAGTCCATGACTTGTGCAAGTTCATGCTGCCAATGGGAGGAAATGCCTGGTCTCCTGTGTCCAGGGCTCTTTCCACTACCCCTCCCCCGCTGGCCCCAGCACATTCCCAGGCTGAATTCACGGGGCGGGGGGATAAGATTTCAGAAGAGCAAAGGCTTCTTCCCATCCACTCCACCCCCTTCCCGGACTGATGAGTCAGGGGGCTATTAGAGGATCATGGAGGTGTCAACTAGCAGGTGGGACTTTACTCTCGGAGGTGTGTTGGGGGGTGCAGGGGAGGACCGGTCAAGTTAGCCTTCAGGCTCTGTTCCCTGACCTTCAGCCTGTGAGATTCTACTTCAAATATGCTGGCAGCTTTTCTCTCTGGAAATCTGTACTCTGGACTCTCAGAGCATGCCTTTGAAATGGCCAACCAGTGGCATAAAAATCCATATCCTCTCTCCCCAGAATAAGAGGTGCTGGAAACCCCAGGGTTTGTAATTGCCTGTGAGAAGAGGCTCTGGCTGATGTTCTGCACTTTTCTCTGGGGCAGGAGCTGTGGGGGGTGTATGTGCCCTGGCCAATGTCCTGGGGGCTCAGGTGTGCCAGCTGGAGCGACTCTGCCTCACGGGGCAATGGGAAGATGCCCAGAAACTGCAGCACCGCCTCATTGAGCCAAACACTGCGGTGAGCTCCCAGCCAGTGGCCCCAAGGTGTGGGGGGTGGGGGTGTCTGTGTGCTTGTTGGAGCAGGAGTCAGGGCAGGCACAGGGGCCCCCACTTAGCCTCTTCCCTTTCAAAAAGTCCTTTTAGAGAACATCCTAGTGTGGGAATTCCTTGTACCTCTCCAGAAAATCACAACTTCAAAGTTGAGTCCCATTGGCTGTATTGGAAATCACTTAGGGAACCAGTTAAATTTCTAATCCTGTAGACCCAGGAGCAAGCGTTGAAACAGACACGCTGGCTGGCTGATTGTGGTGACATAAGTAACTCTGGGCTCTTACTTAGAGATGCGCTGCCTAGAAAGCATGAACCATGGGCCTTTCCATCAGCTTTAATAGGGAGTCAGATCCTGGAAAACAGAATGACTGGGAGTAAAGGAGGAGTTAGAAGGCTAGATGTTTTCAGAGCCCAGATTTCCCAGTGTTTTGTCCTTAAATAATCTATCCTGCAGTTAGACACTGTACCCCAATTCTGGATTGGGCAAATCAAAGAGAAAAGCCAAGGTGGAATGCCTGTCAAGAGCCAGGCAGTGCTATGCAGAGCCATATTGGGGTCTGAGGCAGGAAAGAAAATGGGTTTGTATGTATATTTTAAAGTAAACGTTTAATTTTGAGATATCTATAGATTCAGATGAAGTTGTAAGAAATAATACAGGGGTATCTGGCTCAGTCAGTTAAGTGTCTGCCTGGGGCTCAGGTCATGATCCCCTGCTCAGTGGGGAGCCTGCTTCTGCTGTTCCCTCTGCTTGTGCTCTCTCTCTCTCAAATAAATAAATAGAAACCTTAAAAACAAAAGATATAATATATAGAGAGTCCATATACCCATTCCCCAGTTCCCCCAATGGGAGCATCTTACAAAATTAAAGTACAATATCACAACCAGGATTTTGACATTGATATAGTCCAGATACAGAGTATTTTCATCACCAGAAGAGTCCTTCATGCTATGCTTTCATGCCTATGCCTACTTACCTCCTGCCCCTACCCCCTCCTTAACTCCTGGCAACCACAAATATGTTCACCATTTTTATAATTTTGTCAGCTCAAGATTGCTATATGAATGGAATTATGGAGTATATAAACTTTTAAAATTGGCTTTCTTTCACTCAGCAGAATTCTGTGCAGATTCATCCAAGTCGTTGCATGCAGCAATAGCCTTTTTCTTTTTACTGATGAGTAGTGTTTCATGGTATGGCCATACAGCAGCTTGTGTCACCATTCACCTGTGGAAGGACAGTTAGGTTGTTTCCAACTGTTTCCAACTTGGGGCTATTAAAAGCTGCTACGAACATTCATGTACAGGTTTTTGTGTGACCGGAAGTTTTCATTTTTTTTTTTTAAAGATTTTACTTATTTATTCATGAGAGACACACGGAGAGAGAGGCAGAGACACAAGCAGAGAGGGAAGCAGGCCCCGTGCAGGGAGCCTGATGCGGGACTCGATCCGGGGACTCCAGGATCATGCCCTGAACCAAAGGCAGACGCTTAACCACAGAGCCACCCGGGCTTCCCAGTTTTCATTTTTCTAGGATAAATACACAGTTGGTGTAATTATGATGATTGCATGTTTCGATTTTTTTGTTTTTGTTTTTGTTTTTTAAGATTTTATTCATCTGAGAGAGAGAGAGCAAGAGCGAACACAAGCAGTGGGAAGGGGCAAAGGGAGAGGGAGAAGCAGACTCCACTGAGCAGGGAGCCCGACACAGAGTTCCATCCCAAGATCCTGGGATCATGACCTGAGCCCGAGGTAGACACGTAACTGACTGAGCCACCCAGGTGCCCCCTGCATGTTTAGTTTTTTTAAGAAGCTGCCAAAAACTGTTTTCCAGAATGGCGGTGCCATTTTACATTTGCATCAATGTAAATGTATGACTGACTTGTTCTCTCTGCATCCTCATCAGCTTTAGGCATTGTGACTATTTTTTATTTTAGCCATTCTGATAGGTGTGTAGTAACATCTCATTGTGGTTTTAACTTGCCTTTGTCTGATGCCTAATGCTATTTGACATCTTTTCATGTACTTATTTGCCATCTATATCTTCTTAAATGAAATGTCTGTGTATGTCTCTTGCCTATGTCTCTTGCCTGATTGGATTTTTTTCTTTTTTAACGTTGAATTTTGGAAGTTTCTTTGTATCTATTATTTTTTTATTTTTTAAGATTTTATTTATTTATTCATGAAAGACACAGAGAGAGAGAGAGGCAGAGACACAGGCAGAGGGAGAAGCAGACTCCATGCAGGGAGCCCGATGTGGGACTTGATCCTGGGTCTCCAGGATCACGCCCTGGGCCGAAGGCAGGCGCTAAACCACTGAGCCACCCAGGGATCCCTCTTTGTATCTTTTAGATACCAGCCCTGGGGATCCCTGGGTGGTGCAGCGGTTTGGCGCCTGCCTTTGGCCCAGGGCGCGATCCTGGAGACCCGGGATCGAATCCCACGTCAGGCTCCCAGTGCATGAAGCCTGCTTCTCCCTCTGCCTATGTCTCTGCCTCCCTCTCTCATTCTGTGTGACTATCATAAATAAATAAAAATTTAAAAAAAAGAGTTTTAGATACCAGTCCTTTGTGAGATGTGTGGTTTGCAAATATTTTCTCCCATTCTGTAGCTTGTCTTGTCATTCTCTGAACAGATCTTTTGCAGAACAAAAATTTTTAATTTGATGAAGTCTAATTCATCAGTATTTTCATTTGTATTTATCCTTTTAGTGTTAAGTAGAAGAAGAAGGCTTTTCATAGCATTAGATTGTGAGGATTTTCTGTGTTTTTCCCTAAAAGTTTTATAGTTTTACATTTTATAAGTCCAAGACCCATTCTGAGTAAATTTTTGTATTAAGTGTGAGATTTAGGTGGAGGTTAAATTTTTTTTTTTTTGCTTCTGGATATCCACTTACTCCACCACCATTTGTTGAAAAGATGGTCTTTCTTCCATTGAATTACTTTTGCACCTTTGTCAAAAATCAGTTGGGCATATTTATGTGGGTCTTTCTGGGTTCTCTGTTGCTCCCATTATCTGTGTCTGTCCCTCTGCAAAACCACACCAAAGTATTCTAAAGCTTACATAGGAAGGCAAAGGAATTAAAATAGCTAAAACAATTTTGGAAAAACAAAAAACAACAGCGAAGTGGGAGGAATTAGCGTACCTGATTTTAAGGTCTTTTATATACCTATAGTAATCAAATCTGTGTGGGATTGCAGAAGATATTGAATTTTGTCCAATGTTTTTCTGCCTTGATTGATAGGACTCTGTGATTTTGTTTTTCCTCTTTAGCCTGCTAGTATGGTGAGTTACATGGATGATTTTCTAATATTGAACTAGTCTTGCATCCCTGGAATAAACCCCACCTAGTTATAGTGTGTAACTCTTTTCATATATTGCTGAGTTCCATTTGCTAATACTTAGTTGAAAATTTTTCTGTCTACATTCATAGGAGATATGTAGTCCCCCCCCACACTTTTTTTTTTTGGCATCACTTTTGTCTGATTTTGGTCTCAGGGTAATAATAGTTTCATCTGTTGACTGGGAAGTATTCCCTCCTCTTCTATTTTCTGGAAGAGACTATGTAGAATTGGTGTTAAATATTCTTTAAACATTTTTTAGAATTCTCCAATGAGATCATGTGGGCCTGGAGATTTCTTTGGGGAGGATTTTTTAAATTACATCTCTGTCCCCCACCTCCACTGACAACTCCCTGACTGGAAAGGGTAGGAATGCCTCCTTACTGATTCCTACCGGCCTCTACTGACATTACAATTACCTCCGGCAGGGGGGTGGGGGGGTGGGGGTTGGGGGTAGCTCCTTCAGTGTGGGCAGTGGTGTGTAAGCTCTGACTTTCCTCACCGGGCTCTGCTGAGACCATCCATTGTGGAGGGGGAAGGGCACTCTTTAAGACTGCCAGAGTTGAGGGCAGAAGTTCTGGCTCCTGACTCAACACTCACTGGCCTGGGTGGGGATGGTGGAGATGGTGGAGATGGGACCACAGTTTTTTCTAGGCTACTTGGTTGGAGCAGAGTGGTGATTGTCTAAAAGTTTTCCATTTTGCTAGGCTGCTTCTTCCTGGTCCCTGGCTTGAGTGAACAGGCTTTTGTTGGAAGCTTTTATTATCTGTATCCATTGGCATTTTAGGGTTGCCAGCTTCTTAAGCTTCAAGTTGAGGCCAGGGAACTCACCACTGTGTTCTTTGGGTCCTAAAGTCCCTAATTTGTCTTCCTTCTCTCTACCTTTCAGAGAGTCTTATGTTTGTTTTTATGTAATGTGCAAGGTTTTGTTTTTGCTGTATTTTTTGGGAGAAATGGGAAAGAGTACATCTATTCCATCTTCCTGGAAGTGGAAACTCTCCCTCCCTCCTTCCTTCCTTCCTTCCTTCCTTCCTTCCTTCCTTCCTTCCTTCCTTCCTTCCTTCCTTCCTTCCTTCCTTCTTTCCCTTCCTTCCTGTCCTTCGTTTCCTTCCTTCTATCTGCCTATCCACACTCCTTCCTTCCCAGCCTTCCTTCCTTCCTTTCTTATTCCAACCTCAAGATCAAGAGTTGCGGGATCCCTGGGTGGCGCAGCAAATAATTGTAATGTCAGTAGAGGCCGGTAGGAATCAGTAAGGAGGCATTCCTACCCTTTCCAGTCAGGGAGTTGTCAGTGGAGGTGGGGGACAGAGATGTAATTTAAATCCTGCCTTTGGCCCAGGGTGCGATCCTGGAGACCCGGGATCAAATCCCATGTCGGGCTCCTGGTGCATGGAGCCTGTTTCTCCCTCTGCCTGTGTCTCTGCCTCTCTCTCTCTCTCTCTCTCTCTCTCTCTCTGTGTGACTATCATAAATAAATAATAATAATTTAAAAAAAAAGAAAAAAAAAGATAAAGAGTTGCAGGCTTGGAGTACCTGGGTGGCTCAGTCAGCTGTCATCTGCCTTAGTTTTTGGATTTTTTTTTCCTTGGATTTTTTTTTTATCTTTTTTTTTTTTTTGTCATCTGCCTTTGGGCTCACCAGCTCAGTGGGGAGCCTGCTTCTCCCTCTCCCTCTGCCTGCTGCTCCACCTGCTTGTGCATGTGCTCTCCTCTCTCTCTCTCTCTCTCTCTTTCTCTCTGTCAAATAAATACATAAATAAAATCTTCGGGGGAAAAAGATTTTCTACCAACTGAACCATCCAGGCGCCCCTCTAAATACTTTTCCCTCCCTGCATAGAACGTTAAACTATTTGAAAAAAAATATATTGGAAATTTAAAAAGTAGGTATATTAAAACGGCATTCTTTTAGTTTAGTTTTAAATATTTTATGTGGGGCAGCCCTGGTGGCTCAGCGGTTTAGCGCCGCCTTCAGCCCAGGGCCTGATCCTGGAGACCTGGGATCGAATCCCACATTGGGCTCCCTGCGTGGAGCCTGCTTCTCCCTCTGCCTGTGTCTCTGCCTCTCTCTCTCTTTCTCTGTGTGTCTCTCATGAATAAATAAATAAAATCTTTTAAAAAAATAAATATTTTATGTATATTAGTTTTAGTATTAGTATATATAGTATATATGCTAATAAGATATTAGTATCTTTTAGTTTAGTTTTAAACATTTTATATATGTTAAAAACATAATGTATTATAATTTTACTTTCCTGACTTAAATGGAAACACCTCATCAAAAAATTTTTTCCTGTATCTACCCGTAGAAAAAATGAACCAGTAAAAAATACATAAAACTTGTATATGGGGGCACCTGGGTGGCTCAGTGGTTGAGTATCTGCCTTTGGCTCAGGCCGTAATCCCGGGGTCCTGGGATCGAGTCCCACATCAGACTCCCCACAGGAAGCCTGCTTCTACTTCTGCCTATGTCTCTGCCTCTCTCTCAGGGTCTCTCATGAATGAATAAATAAAATAAAATTTAAAAAAACACCTTGTGTATAAGGGCACATATTAAGTTTTACCTTGGGCCACAATATGGCAGGGCATGGTTCTTTTGGACCCTGTCTTTATTTAAAACATTGACACTTTGCTCATCATGGATTTTTTTGCATTGATTTTGATTTTTAAAAGAAATATGGCACTAAATATTACTTACCTTGTTGACTGATTTTTTGGGGGCATCCCTGTAAGTTTTGCATCAGAGGTGAGAGTCCCAGGCTAAGCAGCAATATTTCGTTTGGGTAAAGTGGTAGGTGGGCTCTAGAACTCCCTCACAGCTTATATCTTTACCTCAAAGGGGCAAATAAACTGAGATTTTGAGAAAGGACAGCTAAGGAGGCAAGCACAAGTCTCCTGGATGTGAAGGCTTTCCTGGGGTAGAGTGCTCTATTAATAGGATGCAAGAACTGCAGAAATGAGGGCCATTCAGCTGGGCACAGACTGTCTGGTATGTACTGCACATTCCACTGGGGTGGCACCTCTGCTGTCTATGCCCACTCACCTGCAGAGAGAAGGTCCCAGAACCTGCATACCACCAGGACGTGGTAGAGGAGCTTTCTTAGGGGTCTAGTCTTTTTTTTTTTTTTTTTAAGATTTTTAAAAATTTGGGATCCCTGGGTGGCGCAGCAGTTTGGCGCCTGCCTTTGGCCCAGGGCGCGATCCTGGAGACCCGGGATCGAATCCCACGTCGGGCTCCCGGTGCATGGAGCCTGCTTCTCCCTCTGCCTGTGTCTCTGCCTCTCTTTCTTTCTCTCTCTGTGACTATCATAAATAAATAAAAATTAAAAAAAAACGATTTTTAAAAATTCATTTGAGAGATAGAGACAGAGAGAACACAAACAGGGGGAGGGGCAGAGGGAGAGGGAGAAACAGACTCCCCACTGAGTAGGGAGTACTATGTGGGACTCAATTCCAGGGCCTTGGGATCATGATCTGATCTCAAGGCAGACGCTTAACCATCTGAGCCACCCAGGCGCCCCAGGGTCTGGTCTTACAGTGGTGTTTTTCTCATTTGATTCTTGTGACATGGGGTAGGTGTTGTCATCTCCTCATTTTACAGATGAAGCTGTGGCTGCCCCTTGGGAAGAGAAGATGCTTGCTGCCATCCTGGCTTTCCACATGCCATCCTGCCTTACTCTTCACTCTGGCTCCTCTTGTGCCAACTCTGGGCACACACTCAGGAATGCCTGGAACACCTTTCTGCTGCCTGGGCTGTAGGCTCAGCCACCCCAGGAGCAGCTTGATGTCACTCTGTTGCTCTGTCCTGCTTGAACACAATGTCCTTCCTCTGCCTTCCCACCCAGCCAGCCTCCTGCCCTGGCTATATTTAGGATATTCCATGTTCTTTACCACCAAAGCATTCAATTATTTCTATGGGTCTGAGGAGGGGGCAACTCAGAGATCCTGCACACTTGTGGTGGAAGAAGCCTTTTTCTCTAGGTACTTCTTGTCCCCTAGGTCTTTCCCACCCTACTCTGGTTTTGGGTGAAAAGCTCAGGTATTAGAACATCACAGCTGGGGCCAGGCCTAGGAGGAAGGTGGCGTATCACTCATTTCAAGAAAAAATTCCCTGGCCTCTAGTGGTAAATACTTATTAGGCAATCATTCATCAGTGGTTCTTAACTTTTTTACCCCAAGCAACCTCTCTTGTTATTTTACCCTTTGTGAAACCCAGCTTCTAAGGTTTTACCTCCCCTCCAAATAAAACTTAAGTAAGGATTACATTTCTTTTTTTGAGGTAGTCAAAGACTCATCTAACACTTCTGATCAGCTATGCCAAAGGCAAAGAAACTTGATGCTTCATTTTCTATAAGTCCTCATGCATGATGTTAAGTTCTGACAAGAGTGTTAGGTGCTCCCTTACAATGGAAAGCACTTTAGTTATGTTGTCCAGTCCCCTCATATTTTAGACTAGAGAACTTGCTCAGATGTATGTAGTAAGTTGGTGACATAAGATTACAAAGTGGAACTTCTCAGGATAGCTGATGCATCGTTTTTTCAGAGTTGGGGTCAGGGAGGAGCTTATGGTGTGTGGGGGTCTCTGCTGCAGGGCCAGTAGAGGTCTGGGCTATGCCTGAGGGTCTTGCACACCTTTCCCCTTCCTGACTTCCCCAGCCTGGTGTGCCCTGGCCCTATGTTCCTGGAAACTGGGCTGCAGACCTGTGATGGTCTAGCACCCAGACCCACAGCACTGCTAGCTTCTCAAGTCCCAGCCTGATGGCCAAATGCCGCTTTTCTCCCCAGTGGGGTGGATTTTTCTTTGAGAAACCCAAGCAGTGATTTCCTTCCTAAATTTGAATTGTCAGCATTGTGTTCTTTTCTGCTGACCCGCCTTCTGGCCTCTCGATCTGCATTTCCAATATACCCTAGTGTCACCAACTTGGTGAAATTACATTACGAGGGGAGGGGGGAGGAAGCCTAATGTTCTGAGAGAGACACGTCTGCATCCCAGACATGCGTGTGCAGGGATTCCCCAGTTTCTCCTAACAGACCCTGCTTCACAGGTGACCCGGCGCTTCGGGATCCCGGGGCTGAAGAAAACCATGGACTGGTTTGGCTACTACGGAGGCCCCTGCCGTGCCCCCTTGCAGGAGCTAAGCCCCATGGATGAGGAGGCGCTGCGTATGGATTTCACCAGTAATGGCTGGCTCTGAGGGTGAGGCAAGGATGCACCTGGCCTGAGCCTGTCTCATCTTCCTGCCTTATACCTGCAGCTGAAGAGCCACATGGGAGTATGAGGGTTCAAGGCCGATTTCCCTGCTTCAGTCCTCCAGGTAGCCTTTCCCAGGCTCTGCCATGCACACCCATTTCCTATTCGTATAGCCCCATGATTGCTGGCATTTGTATCCTAAACTTCGGCTCTTTAGAGACCTTCAGTCTGAGAAGGAGCAATTGCGTGTTCCTCTACTGTGCTTTCCCGTGCCCCAGGACACGTGATTAGGAGCCAGATGGAAAGAGCAGGGGGGCAGCTGGACACAAGTAAGGGTATCTAGTTTACTGATGGGATGACCGCTTAGGCTTGGGGGTACACACCTGAGCCCAGTACACAGTGCAGCAGGGAGCCAGGGCTGTTCCTAAGAACCTGACTCCTTCCAGGGGAATGTGGTGGGTTCAGAAACCTAATCAGAAATGTGTCACTGGCCTTTTCAAAAGGCCCCCAAGCTGCCTTCCAGACACAGTGTCCTTTCCTCAATCCATTTTGATCATCTCATATTCTCATCTCTAGCCTTGATCTCAGCCTTGGAGCTCCCTGGGACAGCCATGGAGCTTGCCACAGTTGGTGAATAATGACACCTGGTGGATGTTACATTCTCAGAAACTTCTAGCCAACCTAGGTTGCAAACAGTAGGGAAGGAAACTTGGTCTGAGACCTAGCCATCCTCTTGCCTTAGGCACTGTGCTTTTGTTGTGAAAAATAATCCTTTGCTCTTACAATAAAGTTGAATAAGTGAAAACAGTGTGGCCACGTACAAACTAATACCGCACTGCCATGCAGGTTTAGTTCTCTGGCCTAGATGTCAAGGACCTTCCTGGGGGCAATTTGACTTTCAAGGTCTGCTTTTTCCCAGCTCTCAGAGAAGCCCTAACATCTAGGTATTAGATCAGTGGTGGCCTAAGGGAAAGGCATGTGGAAGTTTTGAGTGAGCGGTAGGAAGCAAAAAGGTGCATCTGAGATGCTTGGAAACTGTCAAAAAGGCTGCTCTCTCCAAAAATGTTTAACCTTATCCAGTGATACTTGACTAGTATAGCAGTAAACCAGAGATGACTTTTTAAAAAAAATCATTCTGGGTGTGGGTACCTGGGTGGCTTAGTGGTTGAGTGTCTCCCTTTGGCTCAGGTTGTGATCCAGGGGTCCTGGGATCGAGTCCTACATCAGGATCCCCATAGGGAGGGAACCTCCTTCGGCCTATGTATCTGCCTCTCTCTGTGTCTCTCATGAATAAATAAAATCTTTTTCAAAAATTGCTCTGGGGGATCCCTGGGTGGCGCAGCGGTTTGGCGCCTGCCTTTGGCCCAGGGCGCGATCCTGGAGACCCGGGATCGAGTCCCACATCGGGCTCCCAGTGCATGGAGCCTGCTTCTCCCTCTGCCTGTGTCTCTGCCTCTCTCTCTCTCTCTCTCTCTCTGTGACTATCATAAATAAATAAAAATTTAAAAAAAATAAAAATTGCTCTGGCTAAAAACAAAGGTAGAGATCCTTGTTTAGAACAAAGCCTAGAGGAGAGACTCTAAAAAGTATCAATCTTCAACTGAAATTGGCCATCTACTTAAATTAAGCAGGCCTGGTTTAAGTTCTTAGACCTGCTCCTTAGGATCTGCAGGGCCTTGGGCAGCTACTTAAGTACCTGATCTGATCTGTAATTTGGGGATAATACCAGTTCCCTTCTCTCAGGGCTACTTAAGATCATGCATGTAAAGGGGTTAGCGTGGCAAGTGACCATCACACATTAGCCCAGTTGGGGAGGTACTGTTGCAGAGAAAGGGAAACCCAGGCAGGAGTGGACTTGCCCAGGGTAACCCAGCAGGTGTGACAATAACTGTGGTCTCAGGGTGTGGGCACTCTTGATGCTCAGGGCAAGAAAAGTACAGTAGAAAGTGATTTGGAATCAGAAAAACTGGGAAACAAATCCCACCCAGCTCTGCCACTTCCTAGTTTGGGCAACCTGAGCCTGTCAGATTAAAAAAAAAAAGCTCCTACCTTGCAAAGGTTTTGAGAATTAGGTACTATGCAGTAAAGTGTGCAGTGTCAGTTCCAAGCCACCATCTGTGATGAACTTTTAGAAACAGCAAATTCACAAGGATGCAGAGCAAGAGTAAAGAAACTAAATAGAGGCAGTTCGGGTGATTTTGTTTATTCCTAATAAACATGTTTCTACAGTACAACTCAGAGAATAAATAGAGGCACACGGCTATAATTTCCACCACAATCTGCTGTTGAGGAGACACTCAGTGTGAGGATGGGGGCTGGGAGTGGAGTGGGCATGTCTGGGTCACAGGAGAACTGGAGGCCTCTGTGATGAACTATGTAGGGATCCCATCCATCAAGATCTGACCTCCAGGCCTCTTGTGGTGGAAGAGTTAACAGTGAACCAAATGTAAGGAGCCAAATTCTCTTTTGGTTCACTGCAATCCTAGGATAGGTCCAGTTCTCCCCAAACTCCAAGGGGTGGAGGTGGGTCTGGCCTACTGATCCACTGGGAAGGGGCTGTGTCAGCCAAAGCCATCCCTAAGGATTCAATCACTCCATGGTAGAGCCTGATGTGGCCCAGAAATGTCTGCCCTCTGCCCTGGAGTAAGGAATAAATACATGTGATGAGATGACTCCTCAAAAGAGTTTCTTGACTATCCCCAAAAGGGATCCTGTCCTGTGTCTAAGGAAGGAGAGAGGCACAAATGGGGCACAGACTAGCTGCTGGAACTCAGGTAAGGAAGACAGCTTGTACAGTCACAGGAGAGGGAAACAGCACTCTTACCGAACCCTTCACAGGGGAACTAAGCAGACACAAATACCAACCTGGTGGGACAAGTGGAAGGCCTAGGGCCATGAAGCCAACCAGCAGCAAACAAGGGGGTGACACATGGAAAAGCACTGGCTTTGACTTTCCTAGGACTGCTGAGCTGTCAAAGCCACCCCCATCTTTCTCTCTGTTTCTCCAGGGTAACACAAAGCACTAGCCCTAATTGGGGCTAGGATCATCTGCCCCAAATACAGGCAGAATGAAGAGATCCTGTGTCCCTTGGCAGGAGATCAAGTAGAAGCAGGTCTGCACTGGTCAACCTGAGGCGTTAGGGACAGAGAATACGAACCAGCGAGATAAGCAGAGACAGAACTGGTGACCCTGCTGTGGGCCACCAAGGTGGGGCCAGAGTCCTCACGACTGTGTGATCGAATCCCTGCCTCGCAGGTGATGGGGCACATCTCAAGGCTTCTGCTCTGTGGGGATTCTCATCTCCACTCACATCTGGTTCATTTATACACCTCGAGTGAGTGACGGGGCCATGGCTTTGCCCAGTGCTTGTCAGCTGGTGCACAACGCCCATCAGGCAGTGAGATTTCTGGCTGACTTGGAGGCACTCTGGGCTCGCTGGACGACCGCCGAGCACTTCTCACGCCGCAGCAGCTTGTTGTTCTCAAACAGACCTTCATTGCGGGGTATTCCATGAGAACCATCAGGGAAAGTCAGCAGGCCTTTGAGGGGGACAGAGAAAACATGGGATTGACAAGGGCATCAGTGACTCAGAAAGCAGCTTGGTACTGTGGATCGGTGGAGGAGGAAAACTTGCAGCTCTACTCCAGAGCACTGAATTGGCAAGTTCGATGGATGGGTGGGTGTTAGGGCACAATCGCAAAGGACTGGTAGACACCCCTGAAAGCATTAACGCTAGCATTAACGCTAGCGAGGTGTACTTCTACCCATCTTGTGCTTCCCCCAGTCACCTGTCCGGCTGGTGACTTACCAAAACCGTCTACTCTGCCATTTTTAAATTCCCCTTCAAATGTCATGTTGTCATGTCGAATGAAGACTCCGACGCCATTAAACTTGCCCTGGGCAAACTCCCCCTCATACCTGCAGAAACATAGCAGGGTGGTGAAGCAGCTACCAATGAGTTTTACATATTAATGCCAAGGAGTGGGGTGGATTCTGCTTATTTCAGAGTTCTGGCCTGCTCCCACCCACCCCACTCCTAGCCAGCAGACAAGGGCCAGAGAGCATGTGTGATATGAGGCCTTAATCCCAAGGAGATAACGGAAGAGAATGGCAGTGGGGTGGAAGGTCATTCGGCTCCTTGCCATTTCAAATTTTAGATCTATTTATAAAGTAACTAATAAAAGAACTGCTTACTTCTCGCCTGTTTTCAGAGGGCCTGGGTCAAGCTCAGGTCTGACCAGCTATTTATCACTATCAAAGCTGAGAAAAGAATGACCCAATACTTACCTTGAGCCATCTGAGAAGGTCAGTACCCCGAAGCCATTAAAGAGCCCATTCTCAAAATGACCCAGGTAGGTGCCACCATCTGCAAACACCAGTTGACCAAAACCATGTCTGCGGCCTAGGCAAAGAGAAAGACAGTTGTCAGGGTTCAGAAGCAGCTTCAGGAACACCCTCCTTACCCAACCTCCCTTGTCTTTTGTCACCCCATGCACAAACAAAAGGAGAGAAGCAGTGATGTTAGCAGGGCAGAGAACTACTACCCAGAGCAGGCACCAGGAAAATCCGGCTTCCAGGACCTTCCCATCTTGTCACAAGCATCAGATTTGGAGCAGGTCTCACTAAGTATGAACAAGAGAGCACTTAAAAATAACACTAGCGGGCAGCCCCAGTGGCACAGCGGTTTAGCGCCGCCTGCAGCCCAGGGCGTGATCTGGAGACCCTGGATCGAGTCCCACATCAGGCTCTCTGTATGATGCCTGCTTCTCCCTCTGCCTGTGTCTCTGCCTTTCTCACTGTCTATGAATAAATAAATAAAATCTTAAAAAAAAAAATAACACTAGCTACCAGAGTGCCTTTACTCCATGTCAGGCACTCTTCTCACTTTGTATTTATCATCCTATCTAATCCTCACGACATGAAGAGATAGGCACAGTACTATTATTATTCCCATTTCACCGATGCAGAAAGTAAGGCTAGGAGAAGCTAAATCACTTCCTTAAGACCACAGAGCTGTTAAGTGGCAGAGTAAGAATGCAAATGCAGTGGGCATCTGGACCGGAGAACTCTCAACACTGACTTAAATGTTGCCTCTCTGAGAGAAAAAAAGTGCCACATGGCACCGTGAAGCTAGGGGACAAACCGAACAGTCTGACTGATGGCAATGATTCAGGCTTTGTTATCCACTGAACTGACCAGAAAAATGGCACGATGCTGGAGGAGCAATCATGTCTTTCCAGGAGAGTACAAGGGAGTTCCTCTAGGGGATAGAGACCGCCTAGCAGACTGGCGCCTCTAACTGGCCAGATCTGAGGGGACGGCAGGTGTTGGGGAGGCAAGGTTACATCCCGTCTGTCCAGTTTCTCCTCTCAGGGCTCAAGAATTCATCAGCCGCAGGTATCTAACGTGAAAAGAATGGGGTGCATGTTGAAACGGGCTGAACTCTTCCCTGGCACAACTGTTGGAAGTCACGGCTCCTCGGGGCAGTTCCTGGCTTGCTAGGACTGGCCCCATGAGGCTCTTAAATGGTCAGACTGTGTTTCTCAGGCTCTGCGGAATTTCACTAAGCCTGTGAATAGACACTTCCAAATGCAAGGAGCTGTCACAGAAAATTCAAGGAAATGACTGTCATTTACCCTTGAGTATCTGTCCTAATTTCCAGGTCTTCCTTAACTTACTGGGCAAACAATGAGGTTTTCTAATTCCTTTATTTATTTTTTTTAATTTTTTTAAAATTCTTATTTATTTATGATAGTCACAGAGAGAGAGAGAGAGAGGCAGAGACACAGGCAGAGGGAGAAGCAGGCTCCATGCACCGGGAGCCCGACGTGGGATTCGATCCCGGGTCTCCAGGATCCTGCCCTGGGCCAAAGGCAGGCGCCAAACCGCTGCGCCACCCAGGGATCCCTAATTCCTTTATTTAATCCTAAAATCAAAGAAAGGCAAGGCACTATTCAGGTTAAATCCTGGAGTTAGACATGAAGACTCATGCAGTTGGCTTATCTAGCCTGATACGTTTGTCCTTCAGCCAAATGAAGGGTTCCTCACTTGATCCCCCAGGGATTCTCTTACCTTCCTTCCACTCTCCACGATATTCCTCCCCGCTGGAGTAGGTGAAGGAACCTTTTGTCAGGGTCATGGTGACAGCTATGGAAGGAAGAAAAGGATAAAAACTGCAGGAAACAGAGGAGAGAACCAGAGTCATGGGATGGTTGGAGGAAAGGCCTGCAAAGCAATTTTGCAGAAACATTCTATAAACTAGCCCAGTGAGTATATATATATTACCCTGGATACATTTAACAAACATGCCCACCTCTCCAACCTCCCCACCCCCAGCATCACCACCTTGGCTCAAGCAGTCTTATCCTCCAACTTAAAAGTTATCAGCCTGGGGCACCTGAGTGGCTCAGTTGGTTAAGCTTCTGACTCTTGGTTTCAGCTCAGGTAGTGATCTCAGGGTTTTGGGATCGAGCCCTGCACTGGGCTTTGTGCTCAGTGTGGAGTCTGCTTGGGATTCTCTTTCACCCTCTCCCTCTGCCCTTTCCCCTGACTCATGCTCTCTCTCAAATAAATAAATAAAATCTAAAAAACAAACAACAAAAAAAGTTATCAGCCAGTTCCAATTTTCTATAGATAGAAATTGAGGATGAATTTACAAATATTTGCTTGATACGTACTCTGTATTTAGTTGATGTATAAAATATGGTCTCTTCCTTCAATGAGTTTACAGTCTAGTTGGTAAGACTAGTAGCTGACATACTGAGCAATATGAGAGGTAATGTAATTAAGTGCCAAACTGGATGGTAGAGATGTACAAAGACAAGGGATGGTTGGGGAGCCTGGGTGACTCAGTCAGTTAAATGTCTGCCTTTGGCTCAGGTCATGATCCCAGGGTCCTGGGATTAAGTCCTGCATTGGGCTCCCTGCTCAGTGGGGAGTCTGCTTCTCCCTCTCCATATGTCCCTCCCCCTGCTTGTGTGTTCACTCTCTCTCAAATAAATAATAAATAAAAATCTTAAAAAAAAAAAAAAACAAACCCGCAAGGGATGGGCACAACTGAAAGCAAGCAGTCAAGAAAGCAAAGGGCAGCTGCCCATGGAGAAAACCTGAGGAATGGAAGCACAAACAGCAACATAACCTGGATGGTCGGTGGGAAAATATTAAGTTGGGTCTTATTGCACTTGAAGGTTTATTTAAGGAGTAATAGGAAATAAGTCTATCTAGGTACTCAGCCAAACTCTGAAATCTGAAAAAAAAAAAAAAAGCCTCTCAGATTGATTGATTTAAAGATTTTATTTATTCATTCATGAGAGACACATAAAGAGAGGCAGAGACACAGGCAGAGGGAGAAGTAGGCTCCATGCAAATAACCCAATGTGGGACTAGATCCCAGGAATCTGGGATCATGTCCAGAGCCAAAGGCAGACACTCAACCACTGAGCCACCCAGGTGTCCCAGCCTCTCAGATTTAAATCCAAACTCCATCATTTCAAAGACGGAGAGAAGGAAGTGAAAAGCCAGTCAGTGGCTGGGCTGGAACTCGGGTCCTGGCCTCCCCTGCCTGCTGCTCATTCTTTATCTCTCGTGTTGCACACTCTGCTTTTAGGATCAGGCCACTCTAAGGGGATCTTGGAAAGCTAGGCAGAAGAATTTACAGCTAATAAGGTGGGGGAAAGACAAAGGCTCTGGGGATTTTTGAACAGGCAAGTAATCTGAAAGGGGTGCTTGCGGAAAAACGAATGGGTCAGCAGGAAACAGGATGCTTTGGAGCGGCAAGAGCCCACAGCCAGAAAAGCTTGCAAGACAGATGTGATCATTCAGGAGACTGTGAAAATGAGCACAAATTACTCTCCCTCTGCTCATGCCCTTGTGTTAGGACATGGCACCACCTCTATTAACAGGCAGTTTATTCCTCCACCCACTGGGTCCGGGTGGATTATAGGAGTTGGTTGGGCTAATGGAACATTAGCAAAAGGGATACAGCAGAGGCTTGGCGAGTGCTCGTACACAGGGCTTGCCCTCTCACAACACTAGGAACTAACTGTTCTGGCCCCGTGTGGACAAGCCCAGGCTAGTTGGCTATTGCCAAGGGTCATGTGGAACTGTACCAACTGACCACAGATGCATGGGTGAGCTCAGGCATGATCAGCAGAGCTGCTGCTGAGCCCAGGTCCAGACTACTGACCCACGGAATGTTGGACTAAATACATGGTAGTTGTTTTAAACTGCTATGTTTTGAGGTGGTGTGTTACTATCTAGCAAAAGCTAACTGATACGCCCAGGCACAAGATCATAAGGCCTGACCGAGGGGGATAACAGTGTCATGGGAGAAGAAGGCAGGAGTGACAATGACAGAGATAAACAAACAACCCAATAACATTCGGAGACTGGCTAGGTATGGCTTCAGGTTTGCAGTAAAAGAATACTTGTATTCAAAGATATTTTTTAAGGATATTAAGATACCTAAAATATCATTAAATACAGAGATGAACAGAAACATTTGACATATTTTTAAAAGTGCAATCCCTAGTTCTTTTTAATTTCCCTAGGTTTGTTTACTCACCTCATCTTTTCCAGACCTAAGCAATACAACGTATTTGCAAGTGACTGTGACACTGCAGAGTCCTAGGCCCAAACCTGGATATACTGAATCAGATTCTGTATGTTAGAGCCTGGGAATCTGCAGTTTTAACAAGCACAATGTTAGAGGGCTACACAGTTTGAAGTATGGCTACTATTACTCCAATAAACAGATACACTATGTGTGAAAATTCTCTGACCTATAAATCACCACTGAAAGGTCCTCTGGTATTTTTTTTTTTTAAGATTTACTTATTTATTCATTCAGAGAGAGCGAGAGAGAGGCAGAGACACAGGCAGAGAGAGAAGCAGGCTCCATGCAGGAAGCCTGATGTGGGACTCGATCCCGGGTCTCCAGGATCACACCCCAGGCTGCAGGCGGCTCTAAACCACTGTGCCACCGGGGCTGCCTGGTCCTCTGGTATTAATAATGAACCTAGAGTCTAACCCTCAAGCATCTGATTAAGCTAGACAGGACAAGTGCATCTCTTCTTCAGAGCATGGGGGGCAGGCCTGGAGGGCCAAACAGGAGTGAGTTTTTAAATCCCTCCAGGCCTGCTGCCAACAGCAAGCTTCCTTCAAGTCCTGTGTGGGTCGGGGAGCACCAACACTGGGTTCCCATCCCAGTGCACTGTGTAGCCTTGGGAAGGTTACTTAAATGCCTCTAAACCTCAGTCTCCTCCTCTATAAAGTGGAGAAAAGATACCTACCTCAGAGAATTGGCATGGATTAAATTAAATAAGACATGTGAAAGTAACTAGAATACCACAGGGCCCTATCCATTAAATGTCATTCTTTTCCTCCTTCAAATGTAAGACACCTAAACTCACACATTCACTTACTGTAATGGAAATTTCTCTAAAGTCTCGGTATAAAAATGCTACCAACGTAATTCAAATAACATTTGGGAAAAAAACTCAGCAATTTTGCCAGAGGTAAATTCTAAGGTGGGAGAAGGTAAACTATAATTGCCACTTGTCTGTTTTTTTATCACCACCTCATGGGATGTTTTAATTTTGGCCTATGTCACAATGCTTTTGAATACAAATGCCATAAGCCCAGAAATGGTCTGACATGCAAACAGCTGGGCTTGAACAGAGCAGGGCTCAGTCATATCTTCTGGGCCCTGGCCCTGTCTCCAAACTCCTGTTTCATCCCACCTATGAGAACAGATGAGTTCCGAGAATCCCTTCTCAGGAGAGAATCCCTGCTCTCACCCAAACAGGGAGCAACATCCGTTTCTACCCCACAATGAGGCCAGTTTTGGATGCTCTTCCAGTGATGTCTGGGAACCCCTGCAACAGCTCCACCAGGGATTTTCTCACTGTTGCTACTCGGGAGCTCTATACCCAGGTTCTCTCACACAGTGGAAGATATCCTCATGTAGGGATCATTTTCTTTATGTCTTAAAGCCCTTGGGAACCTCTGGGGCTATTTTCTCTGATTGGTGACACTGGGCCCTGGTGTGCCATCTCTGTTCCACCAATGTTCCACAAGGTTGGCATCCAATTTCAGCCTCAAGCCTCTTGCTGTCAGCCCAGCATCGGTGTGCCTGGGGTCGAGGTCAGCATGACTCCACTGCAAATACAACATTAATGAGAAGAAAAGAAGCAATTTTCCATCGAAACTGTAGAGGAAAACTCTTTCCAGTCCAGATAGGCTTTGATAACTATAGGATGTCTTCAGCTCTTCCCAGAACTAATGAAGTCAGCGTACTCAGTTAGTCTCTGGAGCAAATCTGAAATATTTCATTCCTTCAAAACAAGTCAGAATCTTTTTTTTTTTTTTTTTTTAACAAGTCAGAATCTTAAAGGCCGTATCTGAAAATAAATCTCATAACTAAATAGCCGTTCTGAAACATAAACGCAAAATCACGCTTTATGCAGGGAGATGATAAGATAAAGGCATTTCCTTCCAATGTCTGGCAGCTGTTACCTTGTCTTCACTCAGAGGTCTGTAAGGAGTTATTGCAGTACCATATGAGGGGTCAATCTGATTGCCCGGGATCCAGGGCCCAGGGGCAGCAGGCTCCAGGATTTGTTTACTTGTTCTTAAGGCTATGTGAAACTTCCAAATAGCGGCAACCCATTTGTTTCACAGGGACCACCAGAAGGTCCCTGAGAAAAAGGGAACAGCAGTTCTCCAGTCTGAAGACTATCTCTAGGGCAGCCCGGGTGGCTCAGCGGTTTAGTGCCGCCTTCAGCCCAGGGCCTGATCCTGCAGACCCGGGATCGATTCCCATGTCGGGCTCCCTGCATGGAGCCTGCTTCTCCCTGTGCCTGTGCCTGTGCCTCTCTCTCTCTCTGTGTGTCTCTCGTGAATAAATAAAGTCTTAAAAAAAAATGAAGACTATCTCTAGACAAAGTACTAGCCAGCCTCTCAAACTATAAACGTAGCCACCCTTTTGGCATGCTTTGAGCTCTGAGGGAATATAACCTAAATTTTTTAAAGATGCCAATGAAACTGAAAAGATCTTCCTCTAATTACCAACTGTGGCATATTGTATTTTCCAAAGACATTTGCATTAGTATCCCCTGTATTACGTGTTCTAGAATTTGACCTTGCCACTGCCCCATCAAAAGGGGGACTCTAACTCCTCTTCTTTGAATCTGGGCAGGCTTGTGATTGCTTCAACCAATAGAACATGGTGGAAGAGATGGCATGTTCTGAGGTCAGGCCAGAAAAGGTGATGCATCTTCCCTCTTGCCCACTGGTACACTTGCACTTGGGAGACCTGAGCCACCCTCGAAGAAGTCTATCCTCTGAGGTTGCCATGCTGTGTGGAAGCTGAGCCACAAAGAGCCACGTGTTGGTGCTCCAGTTGGCAGTTCTCATCCTTGAATCAGCCCAGCCTAGGCATCAGCTGTGGGCAAAAGAGCCTTCAGATGATTCTAGCTCCTGGTCATTGTGTTGGCATCCCATCTAAAGTATCATGGAGCAGAGTGTAGTCATCTCCATGATGCCCTCTACAAATTCCTGACTCACAGAATCTGCAAGCATCATAATGTTGTTTTAAGTTAAGGTTGGGGTAATATGTTATATGCCTATAGTAACTGGAACATCATCTCTACACCTAACCCTGCCACCATCCTCTCTCATTTGTTTTTCAAAAGGATGTTCCCATTCCTTTTTTTATCTAGGGAGACAGAGAAAACTCCCTTCAATGGCTGCTGGTCAAAATGATGTCCATTCCCAAGAACACAATCGGAAATGCTAACTAAAGGATAAACATGGGGCAGCCCCAGTGGCACAGCGGTTTAGGGCCACCTGCAGCCCAGGGCTTGATCCTGGAGACCCTGGATCGAGTCCCACCTCAGGCTCTTTGCATGGAGCCTGCTTCTCCCTCTGCCTGTGTCTCTGCCTCTCTCTCTCTGCATCTCTATGAATAAATAAATAAATAATCTTAAAAAAATAAAAAAATAAATAAAAGGATACACATGGACTCTGTGGGTCTCAGGCCATTGGTGAACACATTGGACTAGAAACTTCTACTTATGTCCAAATAATTGATACCATAACAGCCTGGGACAGTGTTGGGATTTTCATTTACGAATTAGCCATGCTAAGTAATAGTCAGCTACAAAGCCACTGACCCCAAAAGAAATCATGCTCGTTGAGATAAATTAGTTTAATATGGTATAGCCAGTGCTGATGAAGACTGAAAACCTAACACTTTAATATGCATGCAAATCAGTATTTGTATCAGTTACCCAAAAAAATATTTTAAAAGAGAACAGGTGACCTAGGAGTTTAGGCTTCAGCTATATATATGGAATCAAGTCACAAAACCAAAAGAGAATCATGCTTCTAAGCAGATACCCACCCTTTCTGCTCTTTTGATAGATAGGTTGCAAAGGATCAATCCAAACATTTATCTAAAAGAAAATGACTATTTTGTTCGTGAAATGAGTATACTATTTGTCTGCACAAAGAGAACTGAACATCCCAGTTCTCTTTATTTTCTCCTGACCCAGACATTTCCAAATAGAACTTGGAGACTGTAATGTTAACTTTTGTTTCCACTCCATTTGTCTTTTTTTCAGTTTAGAAATCAAACTTGTTAAAAAAATATTTATGCATTCACAGGATTTTGTGTCCAAATTCAGAGGATTAAAAACAACAACAACAACAACAACATAGCTAACATAAAGAGGAACAGATTTTCACTTTAAGAATATTGTTTTGAGGCAGCCAGCTTTTCCCACATATACCTTTACATTGTTCCTCCAAAGCCTCCCCAGAGTATGACCTTCTTGTCAGAGTTCTCTTAATTACAAAGAAAGCAGTCTTGGGCTTTGAGAATCCTAAAGAGAAGAAAAGGAAGACTTTGATGAACAAAAATTAGACTTAGAACCTAAGAAACCTAGAAGAAAAGTCACACATTCCTTTTTAAAAAAATATTTTTTTAGCTTGGAATAACTGCTTTTCTTATGACACTACAAGCCTTTTTACTGTAAACCTTCCTTGAACTCGAAAAGTTAAAAAAAAAAAGTATTGCTACTAGATAAAGGTCTTTTTTGTTTATTTTATTTAAATTCAATTAATTAACATCTAATGTATTACTGGTTTCAGAGGCAGAGGTCGGTGATTCATCAGTCTTATATAGATAAGGGTCTTACTTAGGAAGACTGTGGGACAATTAGATTGGAGAAAGTACGAAGAAAATTCTGACACCAGAAAAAAGATTAAAAAAAAAAAGAGGAGCAGCTGGGTGGCTCAGTGGTTGAGCGTCTGCCTTTGGCTCAGGTCGTGATCTCGGGGTCCTGGAATCGAGTCCCGCAAGGGGATCCCCGCAGGGAGCCTTCTCCCTCTGCCTATGTCTCTGTGCCTCTCTCTGTCTCTCATGAATTAAAAAAAAAAAAAAATTACAAAAGACTTGAGGGTGATGGGGACTGCCATGATATTATCCTATTTCATGAAAAAGGAAATGCCTGGACGGGGTTCTAATAAAGTCGAGTTACTCCTCCGGATACCTAAGCAGTTTGGAGATACGACCCAGCAGGGTGCCACCACCCACTAATTGAGGCTTCTGGTTCAGGGTGTGGGAGTGTGAGAGGCGGGCCCAGGCCAAACAAAGCCCGAGACCCAACTAACAGCATTTCCTCCCATCCCGTTCTCGCATCCCAACACTGATCCTTCTCTCCGCCCGAGCTCTGCTCCAGCGCCCGGCCAGGTGTCTGCTCACGCGGGTCTGCCATCCGCGCGGGACGCAGCCCCCAGCCACCCGCTAGCCAGGCCGGGTACGGTGGGCTCTCCCCGGCCTCGGCCCCAGCTGCAGAGACCCGAGGCCCGGGGGCCGCACCCCACCGGCCCCGCCCTCTGGTCAGCGCATCCTGGACGGAGTCACGATCCCCAGTCATCTTGGGACGGGGACCTGGTCCTCAGTCTTCCTCACCGACCGCACCCTCCGGGCGCCCTCCCTCCTGCGCTGCCGGCCAACCTGAGCTCCGCCTTTCGGGATGACGATCACGCCCCGACGCGGGGCTCCAGCGGCCGCGACCACAGCTCCGCCGGGCTCGCCGCTGCCACCAGCCTCTCCACCACCTCCACCAGCGCCTGCCCCACTTGACGCCGCCATCCCTGGCGGCCGCACCGGGCGCAATTCCCGCTGCCCATTGGCTGTTACCCAGGCAACCGGGAGCAACGCCACTCCCTATTGGCCCAGCGCGGACCCTGCGCCATCTTTGTGCGGGGCGGAGTGCGTCCAGAGTTCCGGCCCACACCCGAAGAGGGGTGGGGCTGGAGCCCCGCTCCCACCTGGGCCGCCTGATGGAGACTTCGGGTCTCGCCACCCAGACGCAGCCTAGCCGAAATGTCAGCAAAAACCAAACCAAACCCGGGTCAGAAGGAACAGTAACCACCCACTTAAGTGGGTGCTCGGATCCTGCGCGGACCTTCAGAGTTGGCTCCTCCCTGGAGTTTAAGGACAGAACCCAAATCTGGCTTTTGAGGTTCAGCTTTGTAAATTGCAACATGCCGGACCAGGCAACTGGGGTTTAATGAGCGTCAGCACTGTGAGATCAGGACGCTTCTGCATCCACTTATTGTAAGGATTTGAGTTGTTGTCGTTACTCAGATCCTTTGTACTTAAAGTGTCAAGATTGGAGCAAATTCTCCAAATACAGCGCACGCCAATCCTTTTACCCATATGTTTATTTACTGACCAATGTGAATGCAGCTACAAAAGACGTGATCGCTGCCCTTGTGGAACTTACGTGCCTAGATGTGGAGAAGATTCATGCACATAGAAAAATTCAAGATTATATTTAATTATTAAAAGAAGGCAAGTGCTCTCTGAATTGGGCACTTCCTCATTTGTGAAATAGAAAATGAAAATAATAGTGATAAAGACTCCTTAGGACTTGTATGAGAGTACAGTGTAAAATGCTCAGAAATGTGTCTGTGGCGTTGTAATTGCTTGAAAAACAATCGTTTTAGATTGTTTTAAAAGACTTGGATTCTAGGTCATCCTACATCTCTCCTGGGTCATATTTGTCAAAGTTCTCTGAGGCTTTTGGATCTGGAGTTTTGTCTTCTTTGGTGCTGCAGAACAACCATATTGTTTTTACTGCTCAAGATTACATTTTAATTTTATATTGGAAGATTCTCCTTTTCGTGTAAAATTTTCCAAGACCAGATTATATATGTAAAATAACCAATGGTATTTACCTTTTTAAATCATAAGCTAAATAAAATGACAACTATTTTCACCATAAAAAAAAAAAGACTTGGATTCTGTGTTTTCGAACTTCATATCTGCTTGAAGTCTGTGTGTGACTTCAAGCAAGTTATTAAGCTCTCCAGTCTATAAAATGAGATTAGACTAGCAGACATATATGACACAAGCAGCTCTAACACTCAAAGGTTAAGCATGCTATAACTGTGTGGTAGTGACTATAGATATAAATACAGTGAGTGGTTGAGAGAATGGCGTGTCAGGAAAACAGATCTGATTAGATTGGAGAATGTATATTAGAAATCTTGATGAAATAAGGTTAAATAGATTGTGGTTAAATTATGGAGAAACCTGAAAGATTAGGGGGAAGATATGGTTTACAAAATGTAGTGTTTTGAATGGGTAAATTCATAGACACAGAAAGTAGAATAAAAGTTACCAGGAGCTAGAAGAAGAGGGAGTAATTGTTTAATGGATACAGAGGTTTTGTTGGGATGATGTTGGGATGATGAAAAGTTTTGGGTATAGGCAATGATGATGGTTACACAACATTATGAATTTATTTAATGCTACTGAACTGTACACTTGTGAATGGTTAAAATGATATGTGGAAGCCGAGAAAAATTAAGGCCATTCCACCTCAAGTTTAGCATTAGCACAAGTAGAGCCATCTTAGGCCCCTGTGAATAAGAGCTGAACTTTACAGGAAAAACTGCAGAATGTCCTCGGCAGGGAATCCCAGATCAGAAAGACAACAGAGCTCAGAATGCCCTCGCAAAGAAACCCATATCAGATCTTAAGAAACTCCCCCACACTTTCCCCCATATTGGAATGAAAAAAAATTCCTCCACCCCTTCTGAAAATCCCCTACACCAGCCCATAAAAAACCCAGCTGTAACCCATTTCCGGGTCCAAGCCCCTGCACTGCTGTGTGGAGTATACTTGGACCCAAGCTCAAGCTTGCTAATAAACTCTCGTGTGCTTGCATCGGTGTGGGCTCCTTGGTGGTTTCTCGGATTCGCAATCTTGGGCACAACAGATAAATATGCATATTTCACTGCAATAAAAATGTAATTTCTTAATCAGAGCAGTGACACCAGGAAACCAGTGTTCTCAGAAAATTAATCTGGTAGTGATACTCAGAGATAACCAAAGACATTGGAAGCAGAGGAACAAACCCACAAGCTATTTTACTAATGTAGCTAAGACATCTTCAGAGTCTCAAAAGTCATGTGGCATTGGTGAAAATGGAAAGAAAGGAGGTACATACTGATATAGGAAAGATGTTGGGATATGGAGCCAGTGGCCAAGAAATCATTTTTGAGATCTCTTCATGCAAAAAGGAGGTTTTATTAAAGCATGGGGTGGCAGAATTAATATTGTGAAATGGCAGAATTAATATTGTGAAAATGTCAATGCTACCCAGGGCAATTTACACGTTCAATGCAATCCCTATCAAAATACCATGGACTTTTTTCAGAGACTTAGAACAAATTATTTTAAGATTTGTGTGGAATCAGAAAAGACCCCGAATAGCCAGGGGAATTTTAAAAAAGAAAACCATAGCTGGGGGCATCACAATGCCAGATTTCAGGTTGTACTACAAAGCTGTGGTCATCAAGACAGTGTGGTACTGGCACAAAAACAGACACATAGACCAATGGAACAGAATAGAGAATCCAGAAATGGACCCTGAACTTTATGGTCAACTAATATTCGACAAAGGAGGAAAGACGATCCACTGGAAGAAAGACAGTCTCTTCAATAAATGGTGCTGGGAAAATTGGTCATCCACATGCAGAAGAATGAAACTAGACCACTCTCTTGCACCATACACAAAGATAAACTCAAAATGGATGAAAGACTTAAATGTGAGACAAGACTCCATCAAAATCCTAGAGGAGAACACAGGCAACACCCTTTTTGAACTTGGCCACAGTAACTTCTTGCAAGATACATCCAGGAAAACAAAAGAAACAAAAGCAAAAATGAACTATTGGGACTTCATCAAGATAAGAAGCTTTTGCACAGCAAAGGATACAGTCAACAAAACTCAAAGACAACCTACAGAATGGGAGAAGATATTTGCAAATAACATATCAGATAAAGGGCTAGTTTCCAAAATCTATAAAGAACTTATTAAACTCAGCACCAAAGAAACAAACAATCCAATCATGAAATGGGCAAAAGACATGAAGAGAAATCTCAGAGGAAGACATAGACATGGCCAACATGCACATGAGAAAATGCTCTGCATCACTTGCCATCAGGGAAATACAAATCAAAACCACAATGAGATACCACCTCACACCAGTGAGAATGGGGAAAATTAATAAGGCAGGAAACAACAAATGTTGGAGAGGATGCGGAGAAAAGGGAACCCTCTTACACTGTTGGTGGGAATGTGAACTGGTGCAGCCACTCTGGAAAACTGTGTGGAGGTTCCTCAAAGAATTAAAAATAGACCTGCCCTATGACCCAGCAATTGCACTGTTAGGGATTTACCCCGAAGATTCAGATGCAATGAAACGCCGGGGCACCTGCACCCCGATGTTTCTAGCAGCCATGTCCACAATAGCCAAACTGTGGAAGGAGCCTCGGTGCCCATCGAAAGATGAACGGATAAAGAAGATGTGGTTTATGTATACAATGGAATATTACTCAGCCATTAGAAACAACAAATACCCACCATTTGCTTCAACGTGGATGGAACTGGAGGGTATTATGCTGAGTGAAGTAAGTCAATCGGAGAAGGACAAACAGTGTATGTTCTCACTCATTTGGGGAATATGAATAATAGTGAAGGGGAATATAAGGGAAGGGAGAAGAAATGTGTGGGAGATATCAGAAAGGGACACAGAACATAAAGACTTCTAACTCTGGGAAATGAACTAGGGGTGGTGGAAGGGGAGGAGGGTGGGGGGTGGGGGTGAATGGGTGACGGGCACGGAGGGGGACACTTGACGGGATGAGCACTGGGTGTTATTCTGTATGTTGGTAAATTGAACACCAATAAAAATTAATTTATAAAAAAAAAAAAAAAAAGCATGGGGGCAGGACCCGTGGGCAAAAAGAGCTGCACTAGGATTATGAGGAGTAGGTGGGTACATACTTTCAACTTGTGAGGGGATTAGGGATAGTTAAGTCCCTTAGGAATTTTGGAAGCAAGGTTTACCAGACCTATTGTTGGGAAAAGGTCATTTATTACCATCTAATAAAACCTTAGTCATGAGACCCTTCAGATGTATATTGGTGGGTCATATGCTTGGGGGATGATTGCCAACATGTATCTTGGGGGTAGAGATGAAGGAACTTTCCAAAGGAAGTTTTATATATTAAAGTAGACTTACAGGATCCAAGGGAGGGGAATTGCTGGGATGATGATAAGCTAAGCCTTTTGCCTTTAGCAAAGTATTAATATTGAGGCAACTGAGTTCCTAGCAGAATGTCACTCTGCATGTTTCAAGGTCTTGTCAGTGGGTTGTAACTAGTAAGGAAATTTAATTTTTTCTTTTGCATTTCCTTCCCGCATCACATATGAAATGAATCTCATAGAGATATTTAATAAGAGACAAAACAGTATTAAAAGTATTGAGCTAGTCTGCCTGGATTTGGATCCAGCTCTGCCACTTACCAGCAGCATGATCATAGGCAAGTTACTTTACTCAGTTTCCAACATCGGAAGAGCTATAATACCAGTTATAGGTAACCCAGTTAAATCCGTGTACTTTACAAAAAACAATGTCTGGCATGTGTTTAGTATTTGGTGAGTGCTAGCTCTTCATAGGTAATAGGGAATGTATTGACCCAGAGAAAGAGAGAGGCAGAGACACAGGCAGAGGGAGAGGGAGAAGCAGGCTCCATGCAGGAAGCCCTACGTGGGACTCGATCTTCGATCTTCGGTATCCAGGATCGCGCCCTGGGCGGAAGGCAGCGCTAAACCGCTGAGCCTCCCGGGCTGCCCTCTGCTGGTTACTTTAAACAAAAACAACATCAACAAATCAAAAGGTGGCACCCTTTGTTGAGGGTACTAACCACTTATCTTCTTATTTGAGGAAGGGATGATAATTTTTTTTATGTACTAAACACTATGCTAAGCGTTTTACATACATTATCTTCATTTTTATTTAATTGAGGAAGGGATGATAATTCCCATTTTACAGGTAAGAAAACAGAGGCTTAAGTGTGGAGATGGGGTTCAAACTCAAAGGACTCATTCCCTTTCTTCTCCCTTCCCCCTCTGTAATCTACATACAGTCTTCCTTTAAATTTAGCTCATAGCACATGCCCCTAATTAAGGCCTTTGCTGACATTCTAGCCTATCCCCAAATTGCTGAACTTCTATTATGGAGCTTTCAGTTCTTAGTGTTGGTTCCTTTTCTTCTGCTTCCTCAGAGAGCTGTGTGTCTTCAGCTTGAGGCCAAGAACAATTCTTCCTTCTCTTTTTCACTAATAAAAATATACTCAGGGATCCCTGGGTGGCGCAGCCGTTTAGCGCCTGCCTTTGGCCCAGGGCGCGATCCTGGAGACCCAGGATCGAATCCCATGTCGGGCTCCCGGTGCATGGAGCCTGCTTCTCCCTCTGCCTATGTCTCTGCCTCTCTCTCTCTCTGTGTGTGTGACTATTATAAATAAATAAATAAATAATAATTAAATAATTAAAAAAATAAAAATATACTCAGTCCCTATCGTATCTAGACACCAAGATTTTACAGTGGTGATTTTTTTTTTTTAAGATTTTATTTATTCAAGAGAGACGCAGAAACACAGGCAGAGGGAGAAGCAGACTCCCTACGGGGAGCCTGATGTGGGACTAGATCGCAGGACCCCGGGGTCAGTGACCTGAGCCAAAGGCATGACCTGAGCCAAAGGCCGACGCTCAACCACTGAGCCACGCAGGTGCCCCTATAGTGGTAATTTTTTAAAACCTTTTTATTTAGGTAGATCAGGGATTTTTGCTTCTTTGT